AAGTTGTTCCTTCAACCCGAAAAGTGCGAAAAACCCCATAAAAATGGTCCAATTTTCAAACGATCATAACTCCTGCAATACAAAATATATTGCAATGAAATTTTGGGGGAAAGTAGGCCTCGTGGATACCTACAAAAAAGTATTAAACAACATTTTCGTACAGCGTCAAACAAATTTATTAAAAATCATAAACGAATTTTTAAGGAAAATCGACAGGGAGTAGGTGCCTTTTTTTGTCGAAATTAAAAAGTTTGAAATCATTCTGGAAAAATTATTTTTACTTGCGGGGGTTAATTACAATTATTTTTGGTGAGTACACTTACCCCCCGAATTCTATGCACTGTAGAGAAAAAAATTCAGGAAGGTGGATTTTCTTTGAAATTGAACAATTTCAAATCGTTCTAAAAAAATTATTTTTAGTTGCAGTGGTCAATTACAATCATTTTTGGTGAAGGAGCATAGCCCCGAAATCCCACGCACTTTCGAGAAAAAAAATTAATTACCGAAAATATAATGTCTGATCATAAATGTTTCCCTGCAATTTCATGCGTATGTTTAAAAAATCATAACTCCTGACCGGATTGAAGGATTTTAATGATTCAAAATTCAAACAATGCGTATTAATGGAGCTCTAGAGACCCAGGAAATTACTATCGCGCTTACACAGTTGTTTGCAAATTGCCGTTCTACAAGTGGAATTTTAAACGTTAATAACTTTTTAACGAAGCCTCAATCAACAAATTGGTATTCCCAATTTTCGTCCTATTTTGGCCTCTAGAATCCACCATTAAAATTTTTTCCAGGGTTGGTGGAACACCCTGAATAGAACAATTTTTCACTACTGCTCATAATACCGAAATAAAAACTAAATGTTAAAAATACAATTTTTTAGGTATAATGTACGTTGAATAATGCACATCTGTTCTCGATTAGCACAGTCTGGGTTTTTCTCTCAAGGAACAAGAGCAGTTAACCACAGTCACCGGCGAACCATAGCAAACCTCTGCGCGTAGAAACCGACTTTAGGTTGGAGTTTATGATACGGATGCCTGGAACGTAGTATTTTTTAGGAACATCCTCTGGTAATACTGAGGCTTCAGTCAACTAAGCTAGGGATTAAGGCTCAACGTTACATTCCATTCAATGTCCCCTTCGAGCGGACCGTTTGAGTTCGTCTTGTTTCGAGAAAACATTCTTCACTCGTGTTCGACGGGAATATTAATCAAATTTACAGTCCAAATAGAGATCAAAAACAATTACAAATTGTTCAAAGAAAGAAAATCCGACAGAATTATGAGATAAAATAAGTAACAATTTACGAAAAATACAACATAATTCTGTTGACTCATTAATTCCCATTTATTTAAAACACTAATTTTTAATTTTTCTGAGGTATCGAACTGTCTTTCACCAACTGAAAAGTTTGTCGACCTTTTAAAATTTTTTCCAAATCTTGTACATGAATAAGCGTTAAGAAAATTAATCGTACATTTTTTAGAAACGCGACGAAGCTTTTGTCAACATTGCAAAAAGTGAACCGACAAACAGTATTGGCAACGGAAGTTGAAGATTATATTGGGTATTTCTGTTGTAGGGAGCCAAACTTTAGAAAGATGTTTTACCTGCCGCAAGGATGAAAAAGAATCACATGAACACGGGCCCGGAAGCGCTTCCTTTCCGAGTTATAACTACTTCTTGTTTACGACAGAGTTTGGTAAGAATACCAATGAAGTTTAGAGTTACAAGTTATTGCTTTCTTTTTATTAAAAAGTAAACACAAACACGATTTACGACCACAACGATTGGTTGAACACTGGAGATTGTAAAATTTACGACGAGACTTTGTAATAATTTTGCATGTCTTTCAGCGAATTTGTGAACATCCAGAGGATACCGCATAAGTTTTATTCAGACTTAGCGATTTGAATTTTGAGAGATTGAATTAGAGAAGAAATATCTTGACGATCGTAAGTAATGTTATTTTCTGTCGACGTAATTTAAGGAAACGGGGATATTAAAAATATAAAAAATACAACGTTTTTCGATGATAAAACACGGTCATTTTTCGTAAAATTTATCTTAATATGTACGATCGGTTGTGCAAAGCGTGAATATCGACAGCCATCGATATCGATATGGCCCTTGGCAGTCACAGATATCGACGATGGCGATATCAAAGGTCACACCGATAACATGTTGATGGTATCGATGTCAAAGGATGTGTCGATAACGCAATTAACAAACTAGAAGGGGCTCGTACGGCATAAAAGCTTTGCAAGAAAATGACGAAAGGTCAATCGGCCAGTTAGTCGATCGGTCGTTCTCAGTTAACTAGTCATCACGGTGTCTGATACTGTCAACAGTCTTTTTCTATGATTTTAATCGAACTAAAATTGATTTTAAGTACAGCAGAATCTCGATTACTGATCAAACAAAAATCTATAATTTCGTTTCTTTCGAAAAGTTTGACCCTTTGCACCCCAATGGGCATGCATAGTATCCACACACTCGATTCAAGGTTTACGTAATAGAAACTTAATCAACGAAACGAATAAAAAAATTTGTATCTGTATTTTTGATCACAAAGTTAAATTAATACTTTTATATTTTTTATTATATCTTCGTGATGGCATAACAAACACGCCCTCGGTTGGACTAACATAAATTAAGCAACGCACGAATTAATTCTGAATTTTGGAAATAAATGTCGCTTCGAACGAGCTCGCGTTCGAACTAATTTTCATCGAAAACATATCACCAATCCAATGCATTGATAATATTATATTCGACCACATCATATTCAATTTTATACAATTTTTTTTTAATTAACTTCTCTGCCATATAAACTTGCATTTTAAAGAGAATATAGTTTCCATTTTATTTCCAATTTTGTAACTTAAAGAATATTCTAATATAATTATAATGTGTAAGTGAAAATTCATAGTACCATTAGTGCAACAGTAAAGTATCAGTGTAATGATTATGAAACGTCGTTTAGGAGACAGTATTCAGTTTCCCGACTGAATATTTTACTAAAGCCTTTGCTGTTAAAAGGGTACGTAGTATAATCTTGAACTACTTGAATATTCGAACGTTATGATCCCTCTAATACCTAGCAGTTTCTAGAACTACTCGCATTGCAGAAGCCTGAATATGCTACCATAAATGACCTCAGTTAAACAGGGTGTTGGGCCATCCCTGGGAAAAATTGTAATGGGAGATTCTAGAGGCCAAAATAAGACGAAAATCAAGGATACTAATTTGTTGATTGAGGCTTCGTTAAAAAGTTATTAACGTTTAAAGTTCCATAATGACCAGAAAATTTTTCGGCGAAAAAAAATTTCAAAATCATTCTGGAAAAAATATTTTTGGCTGTGGGAGTCAATTACAATAAGTTTTGGTGAATAGAGATATCCCCGAAATGTTAACCAATTTCGAGAAAAAAATTCATTACCGAAAATATAATGTCTGACCATTGATTGATGTGTTTCCCTGAAATTTCATGATATGTTTGAAACGTCATAACTTCTGAACGGATTGGAGGATTTTAATGTTTCAAAATGCAAACTACGCGTATTTTGATGGAGAGTATGTGGAAATTCGAAAAATAATCGAAATGTTGTTCCTTGACCCCGTAAAGTGAGAAAACCCCCATAAAAATGGTCCAATTTTCAAACGGCCATAACTCCTACAATAGTGAATGGTTTTAATTAAAATTTAGTGGTGAAGTAGAGCTCGTGGGTACCTATAAAAAAGCATTAGACATCATTAGATAAAGCATTAGAAACATTTCCGGCCACACAGTACATTTTCGGTAAAGTATTTTTTTCTCGAAAACGCGTAAGAATTCGAGGGTATGTGTATTTATAAAAAATCATTATAATTGATCCCTGCAACTAAAAATAATTTTTCCAAAACAATTTAAAATTTTTCAAATTCGCCAAAAAATTTCACACCTTCTCGAATTTTTTTCTCGAAAGTGCGTAGGAATTCGGGGGTATGTCTATTCACAAAAAATGATTGTAATTGACCCCCGCAACTAAAAATAATTTTTCCGCGAATGATTCGAAATTTTTTAATTTAATTTTAAAAGCAGAGTAAAAGTTTTATATTTTGTGCTTTTTTACTATAAAACCACTTTAATCGAATCGAAGAGGTTCTCACGATGACAATGATACCAAACACGAACAATAAATATAAGATAACGAATGAAAATAAAAATATATTAACAGCGAGAGAAACTATGTCGATAAAAAAATATTTGTCGATTAAAATAGAACATACTAAAAGCTATTTGTTTGTATCGCTCTTCGCGAAAATGTGTTCAAACTATCCGCGACAGTTTTACAAGCCAGTTAGTAAATAAGTCATGACATTGTATCGAAAATCGGTCAGAGCAACTATAGTAAAATCCATAACGTCAGTTATTAGTTGGGTGCACGCGTGCTCGACTGATTTTCAAATGCAATTTTCTCGAAAACGAAGCTTCCAACGCAATTTCGTCACTCATGATTTTCGTTTTATTTCGAACCGTAGAATCCCCACGGGTCCGTTTGTCACATGAAATACAAACTATATGCTTGGAACGTTCATTCTAGGATTAAGTATTAACTGTACCCGACTCGTTTTCTTTACTCTGTTTCTGTTCAGCTATATTTGCGTGGCACATTTTATTTGCAGTATTCTATACGTCGATTTAAGACTTTGAAGAGCTACAGTCAGCCCCATAAATATTCGTACCCTCGTTGCTCGTAAGAGAAATTTGTCGAAATCAAAGGACGCATTTAAAGTTTTGCAATAAATTTTTTATTATAAATGAACACATGCATAAAGTTTATTCATACCGAATTATAATCAAAACTGATTAACTAACAACGAAAATATAGCAGTCCACAATAGTATACCAATGTAGATTTTGTCAAAAAACCGTATATTATGGTAACCTTTTTACTTTTGCAAAAAGTTTATTGCAAAATCTTATATGTATCGTTTGATAAGGAATGAAGGTACGAATACTTATGGAATGAACTGTGAATAATCTGACGTCGAGTTGTATCGCTCGAAACTGCTTATCGTAAGGGGCATACGGGACTCGACGTCAAACCGAAATAGAAAAAGGAATATTTCTGAAGTAAAAGCGATACATTGCATTAGTTATACGTCACAAAGGTCTTTACGACTTTTCTGATAGATTTCCCCGCGTGGAACGTTTTACTTGCAATGGCTGTGCTGTCTGTGCTTCGTCAACGCTTTCGCGTAGTCAAACAAATGGGGATCAATGCTTTCCATTCTTTTGTTGCATTTCTGCTTTCAAATGCACCTGGCTCTGTGCGACGCAACACACTCGCGCAGTCGGATCAATTGCTATATGTTGTACGCATTCGAACAAGAAAAATGCAACATGTGACGTACTGCGTGACAAACGTTCGCCTAACTCGGGCCTTAGATTCCAATATGCCTGATCACACGAATTTATATTCATCCTTAGTGTTTTCTTTTGCTAATTAAATGTTTTGGTCATTCAAGTAAAATTTTATATTAAAAATGTAATTACGAATACCTATTACATTTTCCTCGTATAGAAATATTATACTCACTCCGTCTGCCCATCTCGCTTATTATCTTTTAAAGGCTGACTTGTGTAAAGACTGTTTTCTCCTGATCCAAGGATGGTAACCCAATACATCTTCCAACCAATAATCGATTGCGAGAAAACAAAGTAAAAGCTCCAGTCAGTGATGTACAAGGGTCTGAAATGTTTAAAAGAATTAGTAATACTAACAAAATAAATTCAGTTATATACGAAGTAATTGATAATTAGAATATTTATTTATTTATGGGAAATATATTCCAAGATTAAAATTTTGTACACTAAGTTTAAGTGATGAGTTTCGAGGTGATAATAATTTTTATCTTGAAAGTGGAAATCAATATCAAGATAATAGGATATCATGCATTGACAAAGGAGTGCTTTTAACAAAATTAGATAGAACGTTTTCACAATTATAAACTCTTTGTTTGTACCAGATTAAAAGTAACGATCACGGACCTCGAAATAAAACAAACACGCAATCAATAATCACGTTATACTTACGTTAAGCCCTCTTCAAACTTTGCTATCATTAAAATTGCAATGGATAATACCGAGCACGAGAAAACCTTGGAAGATCTCCAGAATTTAAGATCAACTTTTACTTCAGAAACTCCTTTAAGCGACATTAATTTATCGCATACAGCCCTTTTGAGTGGATCATATTATAATGGAGCTTCTCTAACGGTAATTTCTTTAGCGAGTGCTTTATCAAGAGTAATTTTCAGGTTATCGCCCTTTCAGGAGCGATTTCAGTCCACTCTCGTGATCTAGCATTCTCCCATTACTACCAACGATACTTTATAATAATGACTGAAGGAAAATCAGGATGGCGATCCATAAATGAAAATTATTTCTTTCTATGAAGCGATTAACGCCTGCAATAATCAATAGGAATTGCTGGAACTTCTTTGGGTGCATAGAATCAAAGTAAATTTCAAAATAAACATATAAATTATAATAGTTGATATATTCATTGGATAGAGGATAAAATGCACTTTAAAATGAGTGTTCATTCAAGTCGATCGCGTGGCTAGTTCCAGAGATATAAAGGTTCGAAGCGTTTGTTTATGTTCATTGTTGACGTCAGCGCGAGGTCATTGACCGCGCGTATAAATAGTAAACAGTGCGTAGTAAATTCTTTGAAATACGTCGTTACACGGAGACAGAGATAGTCAAATTAAAAGAATTACCCCTTTATATAAATTACGATATCTCGAAAACGGAAAGTCAGATTGCCAAAAATCAGAATCTATTTCAAAGAGGAATCTTTACAGCTTCCAACAGTGGCTCAGCTATAGATAAAATACTACTAATAATCTTATTATGCGTTGCTGGACTATTGTAAGATGGGCAGAAGGATAGTGGAAATTGAAAAATTACCTTTACGTTTAAATTATGATATTTCCAAAACAGAAAATCGTATCGACGTGAAACACAATTATAAAAGGCGATTGAAAGTAATATTTTCTTAAAGAGACATCATTTTTTTATAAAAAGCTCTCTATCTTTGCAAGTTGTACTGACAATAAAATTATTACAAAATCAACTAACATCGCTTTTCGATCCTCTAAGCTGACCACAAGACTGTTTCACGATTCCTAATGAGCTGCCTCAGGCTAACTATTGATGTCTTATATCTGACCCCGGGCTTAGCGAGGGAGGGTGGGGTTAATGACTTAGACGGAAGGGCTAACGCTTCAGGATGATCGTTACCCTGATGTTTACTTAGAAAAGAAAACATCCGAGACGTAGAGAAAATAGCTGACTCACAGTAAATGTACAGCCATCCAACAAAGTATCCAAAACCTCATTCTCATCTGATTGCCAGGTGAACATCTATATATTTTACTGAAGAAAACTTGTTACTATTTTCCAAAATCGATGAAACTAGTTTTATTAACTTACACATTATTTATATTCTAAAAATGTCTCCATGTCTTTTTTTACACATCAAAATTTATAATATATATTATTATATATATTTTGAATTTATTTATTATTATGCCTTTTACTATTTTAATTTAGTAAATTAACCACAAAACAGTTTCTCCATTTCTAACTATCAGTACCCTATATTAGGATACTGATTTATAGGGCTGACTCTTTCGAATGATCATTATACGCTAAAAACAGCTGACTCGCAAAAAGGGCGGATTTAGAAAAAAAACAATGAGAACTGTCCCCCACCTAAGTTCTACGAAATCTTAAAAAAATAGACGTACTATTTATTTTACAGTGTATTCTATAAATGCTTTTGAATATAAATAAAATATCAGTTAATAAATTATAAACGTATTTTAAATCCTGCAAAAGTGGTTTCGAAAATATACTATACTGTGTAATAAGTGTATACACAATGAGCAAAATAAATGTGAAAAAAACAAAAACGTCACAAAAACTGGAAAATTTAGAAACAAATTAAATTTATACCTCACTAGGGTTTCAAAAAAGTAAACTGATAGTATTACAAAATTGTATTTGTCAAATTTACATAGAGTCTGCGTCGATATATCATGTCGAATGTGATTTTTATTTCCATACTTCCCGACGAGGAAATTTTTATTTCAACTTGGAACAAAACTCTCTGGCACAATACCAAATTCAACATGCACTATTAAATTTGCATTTCTGTCTGCTTATCTTTTATACGCTTTATTGTTAGACAGCCAAAACACGCGATGGTTTCGAGATATTTCGTATTCAATGCTTCATCCGTATTAAAAAAACAATGAATCATTTGTGCTATTGTTCATTATAGGAAAAAAATCATAATTTCGCGTACGAATAATGATGATTTCAACGTTATTATTATTATTATTTACGAAAGTTACTCGTCATAATAAGATATAAAAAAATGTTGTATTTATGCTATATAAAAACTAACTAGAAAATAAACAATTACGAGAATCCCAATGTTTTACTATTGTTGCTTTATGAATGCTTTTTTACTAATTTTTTCATATAAATTCACCCATTTTTGAGTCGTACTATTTCGTAATGTTTACTTTTGCATTGTTCAAGCTTGCAATATTTAATATGTAAAACACAATATGAACAAACACATCGAAAAGGAAGATACACGGTTAAATGATCTAACGTAGCGATTTCTTTGTTCTGTTTCAGTATTAGAAGAAAATTCCAGCGTCTAGGGTCAGAATGGCCGTGGGAAAGATTTTAACATGGATTTCATATTCTCTGATTGTGAGCGAATGCCACAATTGGAAGGGACACGAAGAAGATGGCTCGAAGTTAATCCGCATCAACGGTGACGTGATCCTCGGCGGAATTTTCCCCATGCACGAACAGGTAAATTTATATGAAAGTCCCGCAACAGTTGGCTTTAAATTGACATATGAAAGCAATTCCGTACTATTGCGATCGTAGTTTTATTCTGCAACCAAAGTTCATTACTTGGCGACATCAGTCAAGTGGATTTAAGCTCTACGGAGGATCGCTGAAACTCTGTAATTCGTAGCAATTTCAGGCTCGATTTTCTTTCCATGCTATTTTGTGGTGGTATTTATCTTCAATATGAGTCAAAAATAGCTGGCAATTTGAACGGCGAGAACGTGGAATAACGGAAATGTATATCGGAGAATTATTGGAGCATCAATTACATCCGGCGATACGTAACAAAATGTTTGTGCCTAGCGTGCAAAATTAATATTAAAAGCCTCGGAATTCAGGAAGAGCATGCAAAGAAGCATAAAATAATTCGTAGTATCACGGGGAATTATACCAAGCTGAAAGATGTACCGATCTCCTCGCGAAAAAAAAGACAAGAAAACCGCCGAGTCCGCAAAAACATGCTGACGACGAGTGTTTTGGAACGGCGGAGGAATTACTGCATATATCCGGCATTACTGATTAATCGCGGGTTTAAATAAAATACTGCAATAGGCTGAAAATACGAACGTTCCACGAACAAAAATTATCCAAAGAATCATACCTCTATCAACAAATTGAGTATTTAATAATAGACGTATCAGTAAACTATATTTAATAAAATATGTCTGCTAAGAATTATTTTTTATTGATAGAAAATTATGAAGATCTTTTAATTTTTTGTCCAAAGCATGATTATTGATTAAATAAAAAAAAAATAGTAATTTTTGTCTATACGTAGCTGCAAATTTTTCTAAACGTCTCTCGTGTGTTCCCTTATTAAATGATATGATGCTCACCAACAGTTTCATCATGATAATCTGTGGCACTCGTGAAGAGTCATCCACGACGCTCAACCTCCTAGTGACCTAAAGTACTCCCCATCGGATCGACCGAGCACTTTAATTTCCTGCGGCTACCAATGATAATCAGGCAACGGGTCAACCACTCCTAACGAAAATCCTAAAATTCAAACACCAAAGGGAATTTGGTTTCAACTCTCGGGCGAGCCTGGCGTATTTACGAAGGGCAGCTCGTTCGCGTTTGCACAGTAATAATACAAGTGCAAAAGAGTAATTAATATAAAATCGAATGGGACATACGTAGATTTTGTTTGGTTATGTGAACAGAGAAATGATGGAGTGATTATTTCATGCCAACGTTTTACTCTAAGTGAATGACTAACTGATTTATAAATAAAAATTACAATGATAAATATTTTTTTAACTCGAACCGTAAGAGCTGTTTAACGATACTTCATTTGAAGGAAAATTAAAATTTTAATGTGACATTTGATCGACTTATCGATTTATTCTTAACACCTTGTACATAAAAGTTGAACGTAAATACTCGATGTGTGTATAGTGTTTGTTACGGTGTCAGTATAGTGAAAATTTGGAAATCTTATATATAGTGAATAAGATCCATATTTATCGAATGTGTTTTGGTTGGAAACAAAAGATAAACATAAGTGGTACTGCACCCAAAAGTGTTAGGCAGTATACTGGTGCGTAACGCAATAATGCTCGTCTATATGCAGAGTTTCGATCCCGGATATATGCAAAAAAACCGTTCTCATCGGTGTTTATGTTGTTCCAGCTCGATTGGCCGGCAGCTGCGAAAACAAAACCCGGCTGACCGCACTTCAAAGCGATACCGCGTGCGTATCGATGCGACAGCCACTAATGCAAACTATAAACATTTATATTTTTCATTGTCTCTCCAGGAGACATCAATGGATACGCGATGGTTGTTCGATTCGAATGAAACCAAACTAAAATGAATTTCGACCACTTTCGTTCGTAGGATCCTCGAATAATATCTGAAAACCTTTCGATTATGTGCAAATCAAAATTAATAAATAACAAAAATAAATACGCCATTTTGATACTATTTCAATTAAAGAGAATATTTTGAAAGCAACGCACGTTCTGACGCGGCCACGAACAGTGTAAAATATTAATTACCGGATTGATCGATTCGAAAATTAATATTAAAACAACGATAAATATCGACTCTAATTATGACCGCAGGAATAAGGAAATAAACGTCCGCCTGGGCACGCGAAAAGTTTAATAATTCCAGGTAATTGAAAAGTTTAATCTATCCGTAATTACCGATCGTTTAAACATTCCCGATGCAATTCTAAAGTGTTAATTTAATTAAATTTTTTCTTGCTCTCGGGAGAGAGCGTTAATTGGGAAAACGGTACCAAGTATTTTTCTTTTTACAATGTTACGTCCCGACACGACCGCTTGGGACTTTTATTTTCCTGAAGTGCTAAAGTGTATGTTGGTCTTTTTATTAAGAGAAGAGGCAATCTGGAAAATGAACATTTTACTATGAATGGCGCGTCGTTGGCATACATATATTTGTTTATTATTATTTACTGCAAATATTCGGTCACTATTGCAAATTGCCATATATAGTAATGATTCTTAAGATGAACATCTTTCATGTATGTTCATCTTAAGGTACATGAAAGATGTTCATCTCAAGAATCATTACTGTATATGTCAATTTGCAATAGTGACTGAATATTTGCAGTAGTATATTCAAAAACTCAAAACAGCGAAAGTGAAATGTTTTAAATATAGTCTTTCACTGAGAAATCCGAGAAATCCTTCCAGTTGGAAGGAATATAAATGTTCAATTTACGAATCACGTGTTCATTTTAAGAATCATTACTGTACTCCTATATGGTCAAAGGCGTAAGTGGTCGCTTATCGTTTTTAAATGTCGTCTTTCGCGTTTCACTGGCGCCAAGGGATAGTGACGTTCAATTTACGAATCACGTCTGAGATTAAAGGCATAAGAGAATGGTCGCTTAGGGGTAACTTTGTTACCCAAGATACATTGGAAACGTCGTACCCGTGGATCACTGGCATCTATCTGTCACGTTCACCTACTCGCTTGCATTTTCTCTTCCTTGTTATAACTTTGACTGCCACATCACTCCAATTCGAGTGACGCGGACAATCCGCAGGGGACCGCGTCACGCGTGTTATACGAGTGACGTTGCCCATTACTCGGTTACAAATGGTAATAGTAGAGGAAGTACAGCATATTTGGAATACCAGTTTGCTTAAGATGAGCGAAAAATTAACCGCAAGTATGGGACAGAATTACTAAAACAGTGAAACTAACAAACTTTTCAAATTTCAAACTAAAGAGAAACAAAAGTACCTGAATTTTGATTCAACTGAAAAATAACAGAAAGTAACAGATTTCGCTAATTATGTGCTATTTGATTTGACTTTTTATTTATTCGAAATTTCTTAACCTTCCATCTACGGACCATACGTTCCCCAATATGTGGGAGGAAATGAGGCTGTGGAAGCTGTGGCGATATGTGGCCCATTTATGGAGAATCGAATTACCTATGTATTTCATGTATTTGGGACACATATTGCCCATAGTTGTAGCAACGTATTGGCCATATTTAACATTTTTATGCAGGGCATAAAACTTGGTATAAATTATTTACGGCTCACTGACTAAATGCAATGAATGATATTACATCGATCTTCGAGCAGGTTCAGTAAGATTTTGTTTACAGCTTCTTTTGATAGTTTGACTAAATTATAAATGCTGTTCTGTCGTTCAATGACGACGTCCTATAACGATTTTTCAAGGTTGCACTCTTAATCTGATACACGAACGACCCGAGAGAGGAATTGAAATTACATATTGATTCTGGCGTCACTGACATGGCAATTCGTTACATTAATGGTGTCTCGAAAATAGTCAGTGCTAACCCCTCACTCATGAACGTCTGTGGTTTACGATCCAAATTGTCTGATTTACGTTGTTCGCTTGCTTCGCCTTCGGTTATCTATGATATAGTGGTTCCAACTGGGACGTGGCTACGTGATAGTACCTATTTCTAATGCCGAATTAGGATTTCGTAATTGCACTATCGCTTTGACAGAAACGGTGCAACTGGCAATTTACTCAGAGTCGATGGTGTTTTAACTCTTGAAATACTTCATTTAGCCTGTGTAAAACTCTCTTGAGGTTTATATATTTAAATTAAAAAGCATTATCTATTTACGAGGACAAGAAAGAATGAAAATTGCGAGCAATCTTTTATCATAACTGGGGGTTCCCGATGATTGAAAGAAGCCGTAGCCACTTATCTTTTAGAAAACCTAAGTAAACGAGAAAAGCCATTTCTGTAAACCAAATGTTTTGATTGGACCCATCTATGGGAGGGCTTCATTTTAATTACAGGAATGCACTTTTATGTACTCTGAATACTTGCACTTCGACTCTTTTATTTTTGTTTGCGCTCGACGAGACGTCTCCAAGAATCTTGAATTTTTCGTCACAAGCACCGAATGTCTCGCTCATTGAAACAAACATCCAATCTACGAGGGTGGTCCCAGAAGTACCCGACCTAACCAAAAAAAAACACAAGAAATTTGGAAACAAATATCTTTACTTTTCAACGTAATCTCCTTTTGGCTGGGTACGCTTTTCCCCAGCGGTGTTCAATAGGTTCGATACCCTGTTTATGGTGATAACCATCGAGCTCCTCAAAATAGCCATTAATCGTAGACTCCTCCTCTTCATTATTGGAAAATCATTTACCACCGAGCCATTTTTTCAAGTTTGGAATGAGAAAATAATCCGAGGGGGCTAAATCTGGCGTATAGGGCGCGTGAGGGAGCAATTCGAACTTTAACTCCTGGATTTTGGCCGTCGCGATAACGGATGTGTGAACTGGTGCATTGTTTTGGTAAAACAGCACTTTCCTTTTCGCCAAATGCGTCCGTTTTTCCTTGATTTTGTCACTTGAAAATCTTTTTCACTTTTCTCAATGAAAATTATTCCACGCGAATCTCAAAAAACTGACGCCATGATCTTGCCAGCAGATGGAACTGTCTTGGCCTTCTTTGGAGCTGGTTCTCCTTTTACAGTCCATTGTTTCAACTATTCCTTCGACTCAGGTGTGAAGTGATGGGCCCAGATTTCATCCATGGTTATGAATCCACGCAAAAACTCAGCTTTATTCCTGTGAAACATCGCCAAACACTCGATTGAAACATCCTCACGACGCTGTTTTTGTTCCATTGTGAGCAAGCGTGGCACAGCTTTCTCATATCCAAATTTTCAGTCAATATGCGTTCTACAGCACTTTTTGAAATGTCTACCATGTCTGCAAGCTCGCGCAATTTCAGTCGACGATCGTCCAATACCGTTTTGTAGATTTTCTTCACCATTTCCGGTGTGGCCACTTCATTTGGTCGACCATTGCGATATTCGCCTTGGCAGCTCGTACGGCTTTGTTTAAATTCTAACACCCAATATTTTATTGTTGTAAATGAAGGAGCAGACTGCCCTAGAGTAGAATCTTGCTCAATTTTGATAGTGGTTAGACTGAGAGCTTTCAAATATTGTATACATAATGACCAATCTTTTCCATGTTTACAAATTCACTGAGAGCGTTCACTATTAATGGCTGTCGAACAAATACTAAACTATGTAGCGTCTTCAAACTTGAAACCTAAGCTTTGTAAGGTTGGTACTTCCGACCATAGTAATTTTTTTAAAACAATAACCGCCATTTATACCTATAGCTTCTGGGACCACCATCGTGTCTTTGATGATCGTGGCCAAAAGGTTTCGAAGATTTACACAAAATTTTATACAATTCCTATAAAGTTCACCGAGCAAATTATATTAGAGAAATTTTACGGTGATATCCAATAGACCAGAAAGTTCAGTCGACCATCGTTTAGTTTCAGAATTAATCGATTCGCAAACGCACAAATAAGCACGTCGGATAAAATGAAATTCATACAATAGCACGGAATTTGAAATAATGATAGTATACGGGACACGCGGGACTATGATTGAGAGTGTGCAGCACAGATTTCTTCGATTTATTTCATACCGCACAAATACACTCTGCATATTACCATAATTATAATCCTGCACATTCGCAATTCTGGTTATTGCCTCACCCGAGCAACCTGATCCTTGTATATAAATTGACTAATCAACTAATTGCTTGCCCTGATATAATGCACGAAATGAATTTTCGTACTGCAGCCAGAAATTTAAGGAACTACACTGTTCTTCGGGAAACCTCAGCAACATTTCTACTCGTGAATTTAATTATTTACATACAGTTAAGGACTAAAGGAAGCGGACAGATGATGAAAATGAATATCAATGAAATTGTAATTACTGAAGCATCATAATTACAATTTTAAGCTTTATTTAACATTTATCTTTAAATCAAAAATCAATCAATTTCAATCCACATACTTTTGTCCCTGACTGTATCCAGTTAGATTACGTAACAACAATTTCAAACTTACCATTGAATTTGACGAGAGACCATGATTTCGAGTCAATTTTTACTTTCTTGAACCAAAGAAAATGAAGATGGCAAAACTGTAGCACTTTACTCGCCGAAATCTGAAAAACAAACATTTTTTTATTCGCAAACGCTGAGGTGCTTTGCAACTTTGTTGAAAATCGGCCCGTGAGCGTGTCAAAAAAATTTTAATAACAAATTAGAGTGACGCTACCGAAGTTCTCCTCATTAGAGTGTCAAAGTTCGCAGCATCGAACGAATATCGAAGCTTAACTGTCTCTCCAATTACGATAGAATTCCACGAATCCTTCACAGGTAACGCCACGAGTATCGAGCTTCAATCAGCCACTCGATAGCGACAAAACATCTGAAACAAAACAATCTCTTAGTTTACATTGAAGTTCACAGGCAACGCTACGAGTATCGGGCTTTAACCAATTCCTCGATAGTGACAGAACTCCACAGATCGTTCGCAAACACGCTACGGGTATTGGATTTTAGCCAGGCTCCTCGATGGAGATGGAACATCTATGTAACTGTACGAAAGATTCACGGAAATGGCGACAGAACGTTTTTAAAGAGTACAACGACGCATTCCTTCTTCTGTTGTTAAATAACACATGTGCTCAACGCTCTAAGACTTTCGTACGAAACACAACTGCGTTTGTAATTAATTGTTAATGCACATTGGTCACTAGAATTGTAAATTGTCACGAATAAAGAGAAAAATTTCGCCTTGATATTTGTTACTTTATCGCGTGCTACGTGAAGCTCCGAATAAACCATCGAAAAATTGTAAATACGATATTTCAATAGCAATTAATATTGGAAAAGTTCGAGAAGTAAGAATGTGGATCTATTTTTACAAGAAAATTTTTAAAAATACAGTTTGAAATTGGTTATATGAAAATTGATTGAAGTTATCGCTCCATCGAAGCGAATCGGCCCGGTCGTGCGGGTGCTAACAGTGACTAGGCGACTATACCTGCCATTGCTATATAGAACAGCGTTGCTCAGGCTATGGTAGTTGCATCAAGCCGACTAACACAGCCACTGAAACAAAGAACGAGTTCGTGTTACTGGCAAGGAAATATACAGAAGCGTCAATCGCTAAATATTATTGAATCGACGATCGACACTTCGGTATGTTCCCTTTGTAAAAATAATCTACTAATTTTTTTTTTTAAGTCCCTATTAATTTTGTTAAAGCATTCAAGGCCTATACGCTATTACATGTTACAAAACTTTAGGCAATATAACTTTCTCTAATATCACGAAAAGTAATTCTAAATTCGCAGCCATTAGCTCGGTGGTGCCCACGTTAGGAAAACTTTTCTACCGTGGGTAATACCGATTACCAGGTCCCACCACGAGGAGGTTGCTGCGTAAGGAGACCCGAGGGGAGATGGATGGAATCCATGTTCCATCTAGAAATATTTCATTCAGAACCAGTTTACTTGAGGTAGCACAAAAATTGTCAAAATTATGGCAGAATAAAAATAGCAAACGATTCAAGAAAATATCATATTATATGTGAATCCTCTTCAGTGGATGTATTATCAACCTAAGAGGGGAGGAAACATCCATAGTATCGAAACACACATGTGTAAATTGAACAAAATCAATTTTTCGTCAACCGATATTCACAAATAAACGAATGAGTCATGCATCAGTAAAATGGGTCAGCAAGTGGTCACCATTGGTCAATAGTGGTCATGAATGGCCAGCAAGTGGTCACCATTGGCCATCAATTGATCACCATTGGTCAATAGTGGTCTGCAATGGTCAACAGTGGTCAGCAGTGGTCCATCTTGGTCCCTTATGGCCAGCAAAGGATGATCCCAAAACAAACATGTTACATATTGTTAATAATTATTTAAACTATTGCGTTGTAGTGTTAAACAATCCTTAATCCTCACAATCGTCGAGTAGAGGTGTGAAGATGAAAAACCTATGTTGCCCCTGATATAAACGAATCAAGTGGCGATTTAACAAAAATCACTTTGAATTTTTATTAATTCATTTATCATGTAATGTCATGTAATCTGATGATGAATATGTCTGCATACTTTAATTTATTCAAATTGATCAGCTTCTTAAAACTTTTATATTATAAATATTTGGGTCGCGATACTATGACAAACAAATATGTTGGCCACACGGTGAAAGGCCTGAAAAACGCTGATATAGAACATGCAACCGCTGTAAAGTCTCTGATAAGAATCAATGGTAATTCCCTGCAATGAAAATTCTTTACAATATGGTCAGTAGATATTGAGAACTCTTTGTCGATGGCATTAATTATTGGAAATATTTCTCGGTCACTAATTGCGTTCTAAGCCATTGTACGTACACTTCATTGGGTCGTAGATATATTCAGGCTTGTCAAGGGTGGGTGGTGGTATTCTAATTTCTGTTTCTTAGTACCCGAAGTAAATGCAATTGAAGCGGTAATTTAAAAATTTCATATTTCTAATGTAATATGGCGAATATTATTCTGATTGTATACGAGTTCTAACGTTTCAGCGTATGCATGAATTAACAAGGTACTTTTTATTATTTTTGTGTAGTCAATTAACTTCTTCTAACACTTGTTACGTTATACCCTGTGCGCGGGTTACGAAACAAAATAAGGCTGAGTCACAGACACTCTTCCGTTAAAATATTCTTGAAAGGAGCTGTCAGATGGAATGAGGTCGGACAGTGTGAATAGCTCCATGCAAAATCCATTGATGGATAGTTGCCTGTCGGATAATGCGAATCCACCCATAAGAAGAATAATAACAGTGTGGTATACGTCCACGAGAAGATGCCAGTAAACACTCGAGATGCAAGCACTCGACTGTCTTCTTCTCGTGGACGTATACTGCAAGTCTCATGCGCGAGATGTTCACAAAATGCTTATAAATATCTCCACGGTATTCAACGACAATCTAATAATTATATTATAAATTAAAAAAAGGTATTTATTATGACGATTTCTCAATTTGTCTTAATATCGAAGGATACGTGTAAAAAGAGGTTTCTCTGTAGAAAAATAAAAATCTGAAAATTTCTAAATGCAAAACAATTAGCAAAACATTTATTATACTCGTCTTGAAGCTGTTCCTGGATAATTTTATACTGGATGGAAAAGATCTTGAACGTACCAGACGTAATAGAATAAATTAATCCGATCGAGTTACGTGGCTCGTCCTGTATAGTCGCTTCTGAAATTGTAATTCGGAACAACCGCGGTCCTAAAATTATCGATCCCGTTATACATGTATTTTATTCATAGGTAGCCATATTTTTATTCATAGGTGTCAAGTTCCATTGGTCAATCACCGTGCGGCGCAGTGAAAGAAGAAAAAGGGATGCAGCGTTTGGAAGCCATGTTGTACGTCCTCGACGAAATAAACGCGGACAATGATTTATTACCGAACACCACCCTGGGCGCCCTTATTCTCGACTCCTGCAGCAGCGATACTTACGCTCTTGATCAGAGTATGGAATTCGTCAGGTCTTACATGAACCAAGTATGCGAGATTTTCTTCCGTTATTATAAATTTATAACTGCAATTACAAATACATGATAATTCTACTGTTTCGAAAAATTAAATTGACCCACTCAAATTTTCTACCTCCCCTATTTACTGTTAATATCATACTTAAGAATACTATTTAACAGAAATTGACGGAACTGTAGAATACATACAATTATGTATACGCGATTTTACTGTTTTTTCAGGATATAACGGAATATAAATGTGAAAACGATAAACCACCGATGTACGTACCCCATAAACCCGTGACTGGTGTTATAGGAGCCTCTTTCAGCGTAGTCTCCATCATGGTCGCCAATATTTTGAGGTTGTTCAAGGTCTGTAAACAAAAAAAAATAATATTAGTATAACCCTTAACTGGACACTCAATTTTAGTTTAGTTGTTGAATTCACAAAATCATCTTTCTCTTCCATTTACCATGCAACAGATTCTTTAAAATGCCAATTGTTTTATAGTGTAATAAGTTTATATTAAAAATGGTGAGATTATATTACGACTAACGTCAAACACAGAGTATACAATGCTTTTTCATTTTAAACAGTCAATACAAATTATTTTTGAATGTTCTTTGCATAACATCTCTTTATTAAACACAAATGGTAACTTGAACGTGTCATCTGCTTTTTTTGTTGTGCTGTTGATGGACCAGGAATAGTACTTTTTTCAACAGCACTATAGTACGCTTTACTATTTTACTACGTATATTCTCACATATTTGAGATCGATAAATGAAATTACTAAATGAATTTTTTATACCTAATCTTTAAAGTATTTAAAAAACAATGAGCTAATGGAGGATTACATTTTTCAAATAATTGCATTGACACAAATTAAAGAATTATTAGTTTAAACTTGCGGAGTGTCCAATAATCCACTTAAGGGTTAAAAGTAGCGGATTGAAAACGATTCGTACGAGCGTATTTTAAGCGAGATACCTTTGGACTGTAATTATAACAAAATTATAATTATGTATTCTGATTGTAGATACCACAAATAAGTTATGCATCAACGAGCACAGAACTGTCAGATAAAAGCCGCTTCGAATATTTCAGTAGAGTGGTGCCGCCAGATAATTTTCAAGCCCAGGCCATGGTGGAAATTATTCATCAACTCGGCTGGAAGTACGTTTCCACGGTTGCTGTTGAAGGTGATTACGGAGAGAAGGTGAGACTAAATGCGTGCATTATGAGCCTCGATAAAAACTTTCATTTTTCCATTGGATTTATTTCTTTTTCCAAGATAAAAGTTCCACGTGAAAACGTAAACTCGTAAAAGTGAATCATGGACACCATTTTATAACATTTTCAAGGCTCGAATTAATACGTTTGTTCTTTCAAATTGAATTTAATCAAACGGAAACAGCTTTTTACTAAAAATTGTACAATAATTTAATCTTCGTTTTACACATAAATATTCCTTTGATTTTTTCACTGAGAAATTATTTAAAACTAATCTGTAGAACAATTAGAATGTGAAAATAAACTTCTTACGTACGTTCAAAAATCTATTACACCTTATTCGAATAAATCATTTCAATATAGTCCTTATACTTTTCAGGGTATTGCCAGTTTCATCTCTCTGTCAACGGAGTACAGTATCTGCGTGGCAGTTAGCGAGAAAATTTTAAGAAACGCGAAAAGCGAAGACTTCGACAAAATTATAGATCGACTCAGCTCGAAACACAATGCCAGAGGCGTCGTTCTATTCGTCGACGAGGACAACGTAAGGTAAAAATGTCAACAGTCAACGTTACGAAACGTGCGAACGATGCGTCAACATTTGGTCGTTTTTTGTTGTTGCATGTTCCAAAATGTTTTCTATGCTTAAGCAATATAATTCGAGGAACATTTTAAGTTTTGATTTGATGTCATTTGCACTATCAGCTGAAGATGAGTGAGAGAAACTTGTTTCTTGCAGCTGCAATATTTATTGTATTTAGTGATAAAAAGTATTGGTTGATCCATGTTTGGAAGAAAGTTTCAAGTCGTATGTGGAAATTGTTCTCAGTGATTGAATTTAGTAAATATGGAACTTAATTCGTATTAGTGAAGAAAATGATCGATCGATTTCGTTTCTATTGATGGAAACCAATTTTTTGTTCTCAGAAAGCTTCTTCAAGCGGCTGTCAGAGCCAATCGTACAGGTCATTTTATGTGGGTAGGTAGCGACTCATGGGGTGCCAAAGTATATCCAGTGAGAGAACAAGAATTCGCTGCGGAGGGTGCGATCACTATTTTACCCTACAGAACTTCTCTCCAAGGTATGCTAAATACTACAGATATTTAATAACATTTATTGCAATATTGCAAACAATTTATATTAATTTATATCTATGCAAAAGATTTAATATTTTTTTCAAAACACATATTGAATCTTTGAATTTGATTTAAGGGAATTGAAAATGGTAACAATTCTTAATTCTAATATTCTAGAGTTTTCTTCCAATAAAAAAATGAAATATACAATTTTATGTAAAATTTCATTCTCTTTTATTGATTGCTACTCTACCTGATATTTTGCCCTAAATTCGTATTTGTAGATTTCGACAACTACTACTTAAATCTTCGTCCAAGAGTAGACAACGAATGCGATGGTCAAACTGAGAATAACGTGCTACATAAGAAGCTGCCTAGCAAAATCGTGAATTGCAGAAACGTTTGGTTCCGTGAATTTTGGTCACAGCATCATAAGTGCAGTTTCAGTGCGAATTTGTCAGCAGGAATGACACGTTGCACTGGTACCGAGAAGTTAATCGATTACGAGCAAGAAGGCTTGGTACCATTTGTTGGTAAGCACTGTTATCACAGACGAGATATACGAGTAGAACTTACAACACAGACGAGGTATATGAATAGACTTTTCACCTCATGGACTTTCGCGATCGAGCATTATTTTAACTATTGCCTGATGTTAATTAATAATTGTTGAAAACAATAGGAATGAAAGTATGGTTAAATTCCAGGAGACTGAAGGATTCTTTGAATTTCTAACGAGAACCAAGGTCAGACATGTAAATCACATATTCGTTTCTTCGACCGAAAAATGAATATTCCACGCGAAAGGGTATCAAAAACGATTATTTGTACAACCCACGCTATCAAGCATTATTTTAACTATTAACTATTTAACTAAGATACGTAAACTGCGTCACTAAAATCGCAAAACGATTACAACATCCAACAAAACACATATTAATGCACACGAAGAGAAGTTGTGTAAGGTCTACACGTATAATTTTAAATCAACTTATGACTTTCAGAGAAATCTTATTTCCTGATGCTATAGATTTTACTACTTAATAAAAATTCAAATGTTCCTGAATTTCTAAAAAGTTTAACCACGTCACTATATACTTTTTAAATGTATTTTAAAAAATTCTTCTTTTTTTGAACTCCTGTGTTGATTTACTTTTAGTTGACGCAGTTTATGCAATAGCACACGGCGTACACAATTTAATCGAGGAGGAATGCGTAAATAATCTTGGAACGTCGCATTATTTGTGTGACAAACTTCGTCCAGCGCCGGATGGTCAGCAGCTTCTCCAGAACATTCGAAACGTTAGCTTCATCGGTGAGTACGTACTATTTCAGTAAACTGTTCCCTAAAGGAAAAGAATATTTTAAGATTAATATTTTTAGACAAGCATATCAAGAAATCGGTAAACTTTACTTTACATTTTGTACGTTTGTTGCACAGGTCGACAGGGCACTGAAATTAAATTTAAATCAGACGGAGATGCTTATGGTTTTTATAATATATATCAATATCAGAGAAACGAAGGCGGCGGTTTCGATTACGTTCTCATTGGCACGTGGAAAGAGGAGTAAGTAAAGCTTCATTCTCCATCGATGGTTCATTCTTATTTCGAAATTTCCTGTTTAGATTGACGCTTGACATTAATATAACAAAGTGGGCGACAGGAACTGGCGAAATGCATATACCTCGAAGTTTGTGCAGCGATAATTGCCCATTGGGCCATATTCGTAATTTTCAGGCAAGTAACAAGAGAAAATATCGCATTTTCTCGTCACTCGAAAATTCAATATGGTTTCTTACAGTGCTTGGATCATTAGGATCACTCTTTCTACTCATTTTGATAAACATTTTTATCAAATTTTTAGGAAGCTTGTTGCTGGAGTTGCGTGGCATGTCGAGAAGATGCTTACGTTTTCAACGACTCTTGTCGGAGTTGCAGTCCAGGCTATGCACCGGACAAGACAATGACAAACTGCATCAAACTTACGGCCGAAGTCATACCATGGACCAGTCCATGGGCACTGGTGCCATTAATATTCGCGTCCATCGGCATACTCAGCACCATGTTCACGACTGTAGTTTTTATTCGGTACGACTGTTACAATTTTAATCGTTATAATGTTTGTTCCACAAAAATTTCAATAGAAAATCCAAAATTGTTAAATTTCTTGCTGTAAAATATCTTACTTATAAGTTGACGTAGATAAATCCATGCTGGTGATGGATTCCTCGATTATCAATAATTGATGATAATTGTTTATAATAAGGGACTCCTCACCGATTTCGATGATTTTCAAGTATACTGTAGAATTCGAGATTCTAAACAAGTTTGTATTATCTTTAGTTTTCGAGAATTCTATAACATATTTAAAAACCATCAAAATCGATGAGGAGTCCCCTATTCCAAACAATTGTCAAAATTTTTAATAACTACATGTATAGGAATTTTTTGTCAATCGATTATTATTATAGTTTGATAATTACATTTCAGTTTTAACCGTACACCGGTGATCATGGCATCAGGACGCGAATTATGTTACGTGTTGTTGGTAGGGATTCTATCATGCTACGGCATGAGTTTCATAATATTAAGTAAACCAACCACATGGAACTGTACCTATTTGAGAATCGGCTTGGGCCTGTGCCTGAGCATTTGTTACAGCGCGATACTGACTAAAACAAACCGAATATCGCGCATCTTCAATCAGGGAACAAAGAGTATAAAAAGGATTCCGTACACGTCTCCAAAGAGCCAGGTTGTGATCGCGATTGGTGAGTTTACAATTTTCAGAGGCACGCTTAGAAACTTGTAGAATATTACAAATGTTCGTCGTTCGGGGCAAAAACCTTTCAAACTATTTGATTGTTTAACACTAAACCTACCCCAGAGGTTTCTTTTTCTATTTTACGAGGCAACGTACTTCTAATTTTTGCATTATACGTATAGAAAATTGTGTTTTGATGTTTATTCGTAAGATATCCTTCTCTTTTATATTAAAATTTTTTAAATTTTCATCGGATAGAAGATAAAACGACCTTGGAAACGAATTTTGTACCAAGTCGATACCGTAGTTAGTTCTAGAGAAAACAACTATTTAAGAAAAAGTGCTGGCTAGTAATTACGAAAACATCCCGTATTTAAATTCAGTTCCAATTAAATAAACAATTTGTGGTCCAGTTTTATCGTACACCAGTCGTACGATCAGTAGGAATTGCTGAAACTTCTTTGGGTATGTAGCGTCAAAGTAAATGTGAAAATAAACATAGGAGATAGCAAAAATTATAGTAGCTGGTATAGTCATTGGATAGAGGGTGAAATGCCCTTTAAAACGAGCGTTCGAACAAGTCGATAGCTTTATTAGTTCCGGAGATATAGCGATTTTAATTTCAAGTCGATGAGGTGGCTAGTTTCGGAGATAGGGTTTGTTTACGTTTCGTTGTGCGCGCGCGAGTTCATTGATAACGCGCGCGCGACAATAGTAAACAGTGCGTAGTAAATTCTTGGAAATACTACCCCGCCGAAACTGGGTCACGGCAGTCACGTACGCGGGGTAGCGCCACGCAAAAGACAAGGAGGTCCGACTCCGTTAGACGAAGACAGAGACAGTCGAATTAAAAGAATTACCATTTACATAAATTACGATATCTCCGAAACGGAAAGTCGGATCGACAAAAACCAAAAACCACTTTAAAGGGGAGGCTTTGCCGCTTCTATCAATACCTCAATAATTAATAAAACACTAATAGTTTCGGAACTGCACGCGTCTAAACTTTTACTATTTTTAATACGCGTTTAATAGCCTTTTCTAAGACGGGAAGCGGGAGACAGCGAAATTTTAAAAATTACCTTTTACATACATTACGATATCTCGAAAACGGAAAGCCGGATCGACAAAAACCAAAAACCATTTTAAAGGGGAAGCTTCACCGCTGCCAACAGTGGCTCAATTTTGGAAAAAACACCCGAAGCTTCGGAACTGCACGCGTCCAAAGTTTAACTGTTTTTAATACGCGTTGTTAGACTGTTCTAAGACAGTGGAAACTGAAGATTCTCTCCTTTCGTCTTTACTCTACATTCATTTTCTATTTACATCGGATGCTAACCACAATTTGGTACCAAATTTTATCCAGTTTTTTTACAAAAAAAATAAATCATTCAAAGACAGACTACATATTTCTCTCAGAAAATAAACAGTAAGAATCGAAGTGAATATTGTAAAATTCATTGTGCATATACTATAAGAAAAGTCGTGAAGTTAAATGGCGCTAAAATAATATTGCGTGTCAGAAATTCTAAACGAAATTTTTGAAAACGGTAGGTTAAGTGTTAAATAAACATTTCGTATTGAATTTACAAATTCAAACGCACAGTCGACAAAGGATTTCAACAGCTTTATCGGAGGTGTACCATTACTGTTTTAGCATAAGCCGTCGATCTTGATATTTTATTATGTAATTCCCATTTTTACAGGGATCACTGCAGTGCAATTAATCGGTGCTATTGTGTGGCTAATTATCGAACCCCCGGACACGACGGAAATTCATCCCTATCCATTGTCAGCGGTGCTCACATGCCGCGTCTCGACATTTTCTCTGATGATGTCGCTCGTGTACAACATGTTCCTAATACTCATGTGCACTTTGTACGCATTCAAAACGCGCAAGATACCGGAGGACTTCAACGAAGCGAAATACATTGGTTTCACAATGTATTCGACGTGCATTGTTTGGTTGGCGTTCGTGCCCATCTACTTTGGCTCAAACAATGACTACAAGGTCGGTATTTACAGCCATAGGAAATCATTGTACGTTATCATTCGTTAGCCATATAATTTTATTTTGAAATTCTCAAACTAAAACGAGGAACTGATAAAAGAACATTTACAGGTACAAATAGCAAGCATGTGCATGTGCATCAACATCTCTGCGTCCGTAGCTCTTGGCTGCCTTTTCACGCCAAAGGTATACCTGGTACTCTTTCAACCATACAAAAATGTTCGGCCTGGACATGCGAATGTAAGGATACTTCAAATTTCACATAACAAAAGCACAGTATCGAACAAAAGATTTCGGTGGTATGAGCGTTTTAATGCTAACAATTTACGTCGAAAAACAATTAGTCGGATTAGTTGCTATTCGAAGACTATGGCGCCCAATACGTCCAATTTCCAATATTTTAAAAGATCCATGTTTCATGTTTCTTCCTCGAAATCTAATAAATTAAAAACATTTCAAGTCTTTCAGTTTAGAATTCGTTACCAACTATGTCAACTCTTTGAGGCGCACGATTTTAAAGGAAACAAACCCCAAATTGTACACAATGTTTTTTACTATAAAAAGAAAACCTTCGTTTCTATTATTTACCATATATATATCAAGTTTTTGAGGACTAAAAAATATCCTACCGCGTGTAAGAATTTGAGCAAAAGGTGGGAGCAGTTTTTGAACCGCCTAGCGTCAAAGAGTTAATGGCGATGGTCCAACATATTTTTCCTACGTAATGTTCTTTGAACTCTTTCAGACGAGCGTACTGCAAATCAGTAATCGTGGAGCATACAGTATGCGATTCACTGATGGTCGTAGTCAAACGATGCAGAGCATGACCTCTTGTTCTCGTAGCAGTTCGCCGGCGGCACGTCAAGGCCAAGACGAGGTGAAGCACGCCAACGGTGAGACACAAGCACTGGCGAGTCCATCTGTCGAGGAGACCTCGGTTAGCTAGGTCTCTCTCATACACCTCCCTCCCTGTCTAGAGAATCAGGGGAGAATTCGTGAAATCGCGGTGGAGGTGTATAATGAAGCCGAAGAGGACCGTAAGCTCCCCACTGTTCAGGAAGTCTCAGAAACGAGGGATTTCCAGCCTTTCAGTGTACAGCGAGAATTAGCGAAATCGAAGCCGGAAGTCGATTTCCAGCGATTCTGATCAGGTGATTGATGTTTCATTAAATAATTTTCAACTCCTACCTTAAGCCTCAAAACTGAGTCTGCGAAACCCACTGCATCTTCAATCGCTTATGCATGGATTTAAGCGTCCAACGTACACACCTACACAATACAAACGTAGATTTATAAAAGCAAGTAATTTGTGGAAACTTTTCTACTTACAGTAATTCAATTTAATTAATTTTATTCGTTCTTACCTGCCTTACAAATCGCTGCTATAAACAGTCATATAACGTAAACAGTAGTAATATTTTTACGCAAGAATGAAATGTTCTAATTTAATATTTTTGCAACTGTGTTTCGAGCCGGGTGATCCAGAGGCGTAAAATTCGCATGGGAATGATCGCATTCCCATCAAAGTGGTGTCCAACGAAGACAAGACTTTCAACCGTTTACAGCGATCCACATTCTCCAATTTTGTTCGCGATCTACATGAAATGTTATTGTTGATACATGGAAATACCAGTGCCAAGACATCGTTTCAGTAAAGCGTCTCAGAACGAGGTATAAAATTGCACTGAGATATACGCAAGATAAAGAATCCATCAGATCGAATAGCACACTATTTAATAGGAAACGTGTAATTCTAATTTTGACAGGGTTGCAGGCATTCCTGTCGAATGTTAGTTCTATTATTTTTGATTTCTCAAGAATTACCACACGACTCAGGCAAAAATAACATCCACGTTGCTACCGCGTAAACTGAATTTTAATTTGTATAATGTTAACGTTAACATGCGACAATCTCTATCAGTCAACAAGAATAATCAACTTTGTTACTTCCTTGTACATCTCTTAAAAGTAAGTATCGCAATATTAAGTATTCGCTATTACGACATTCGATCGAAGTTCACTATACGCACATCGAGTATTTACGTTCTGCTTTTATATACAAGGTGTTGACAACAATTTGGAACCTTCGTGCAATATCAATTCCTCGTGCAAAGGGAAATCGATAAGTTCTTTGTCGTTTTGCAATGTGAAGCTTCGTTACCGAAATATAAGCAGTTAAAGTTTACTGATGTGACTTATTGTATTATTGGGGGATCAAGAGAAATTCTAGTGCCGCCAGAAGTACTTTTTTGTACACCTGATTTTGTAGTTACGTTTCAGTATTGGACTATCCTATATATTGCATACAATATCAATAATCAGTATACAAAATCTTAAGTCCGAAGGAAATGCAATAAAAAGATTAGAGAAAAAAATTTTAACATAACTTAACTTTGGTTGGAAAACATTATAAGGCAATAATATTTGATCAAATTTCGCATTAAAATTATAATTTTCCTTTAAACAAAGAATTGTTAAACAGCTTCTACGGTCTGAATGGCAGCATTATCTTGTTAAAAAATGTAATCACTGCCTGCAGTATGTATAATACTGAACGAATAACAAATAATGAAATAACGATTAATTATAATCGAAAACGAATAAAAAATTTAACTGCTGGAATCTCGATAACGGAGCTGCAAGCTACTAACAATAAGTGGACATGCAGGTTTTGTTTCTATTGGTATGAGCAATTGATTCTAAGGAAGGTCCTACGTTATTATTAACACCCTGTATATGTACAGGATGTCTCTAGCAATATATCTACGCGATTATATCTAAATATAGTGGCGGTTTAAAAGAATATTTCAAAATTAAACTTATTCCATTTCGAGGGATATATTTTGGCAAATACATATAATTTTGTTTCAGGTGGAATCTCTTCTCAAATTTTATGGCCATCTTTGTTTTCTTTTTCAACGATATAGTACGTTTGTTAAAGATCTAGATTTATAACTTATGCACATAAGAATCCAATAACGTAGGCCAGCAACAAAATTTTGGAAACAACTCCACTCGAGACAAAATTATTTCTACCAAAAATTATATCCAATTTACAATAAGTTTAATCTGAACAATTTATTAGAAAGTCACTATATTCGTTTATAACTGTGGGAAAAGATTAAAACGAGGCAACCTGTGTATATATATATACATATATACAAATACGAAGTACACAAATTCCTCGTGCCAACGGAAATTGAAAAGATTTTACTATTTGGCAAACTGAGACTTCGATTCTTCAGGTTTAAATTTTAAATTCCTGGTGCAAGTTGTTTTTAAATGTGAGACAGTCGCGTAATTTACGACACATGCACGCAGTTATATTTACCCATAGGATAGCCGGACTTAAAACATTACAAGATGGCGTCGCGAATTCCTAACGAAAAGAGGAAACGTAGGATGCGTCGGCCATAAAAAAATGTACGATATCTCGCTTACCAGTGCCTTTACAGCAAAGCTGCATATGACAAGAGTTATTGGAAAAAGAAAAATTAAACATTTTTGGTGTGTACAAATTTTCGATAGAAATTAATAACTAAGGTATTAACCTGATCCATCCTGCTTGTAGGGGGGGGGCGAAAAACAGTAGAACCTTGTTTGTTTGTGGTCGATAAAATAAAACGAAAAGCATTATATATTAGGGTACGCTAAAATAATTTTTGCATTTAAATAATACTTCCTATCGTGGTTATTGTTAGATAATTCAATTAGTACTTCATAAATTGTATAAGCAAGGAACATAAACGTTTCGTCTGAACTCGTACGGTCCCCTGTGCTTTTCTCGCGTTTTTTAACAATTTATCACGCCGTTTCTACGCTTTTCGAGACTAAAATCAAAAACTTAAGTGATGTGTTAGTGAAATAAGATTCATTTTTATAAAATTATTGGCGTAGCGTATTCTACCGTAAGCATAATTCGTTTTAAGAATGAAGAGATGTGTCCATATCATATATATTTCGTGCATAATTGCTCAACGTTACATATGTATTTATAGATATTTTTGTGAAAAATTGCATAAAATAAATGACTTTTTATTGAGGTTGAAAATAAAAATGTTTTGCATGATTGCATAGTAGACGCGTCGGAAATATAAAAAAAAAAAAAGCAAATCAAAAGTGAGTATAACTTTGGTATGATCATGATTATGGCTGGTAGAAATTTGCTATAAAAATCTCGAAAATCTATCAAAATACGGATCGTTAACAGTGCAGTGTACATAAACATGCATCTCGTGTGTGACAAGTTCGAAATGTGGATTGTTTATATATCACACGCAAAGTCTCAGACTCTAAGATGGAGAATGTCTTTCCAATTTCTTCTGGCAAGAGAAATTTACATATCTCACCTTCTACAATAATTTTGGTATATTCCGTACGAAGGAATCACATTAAAACCATTTTGAATACTTGCAGTTTTACATTTGTGAAACAAAAGTACTTACCACAATGATTCTTAATTATAAATAACTTTGTTCATTCAATTAAATATTCGATACAACATACACAAACTGTAGAATACATCTGACGAACAAACATTTACTAGATTTGCTTGTTTAGCTTCTATATGCTATGCATATTTCCTAATATACAGGAAACATAAATACGAGTAGTAATCATAAATAAAAATTCAGGGAATATAGTTAAAAATCCAAGTAGATTGTAACAATTTACAGATTCGTGTAATTTTTATTTAATTAATTTCGAAATTTCTATCTCATATTTTTGAAAAATGATGCGATTATATTGTTTGGCAAATAAAGACAGATTGATCTGAATCATATCATTAATGTCTGAAAATTAACTGCCACATCTTTGCAAACGTTTTAAAGAAACTTTGTAAGTTTGAAACGTTGTTTACCAATGATCATTGTAACAGTCAACATGTGCTCATCTTTAACTATCACATGTACCACATTTTATAACGCACATTTTTTAATTATACTTTTATATAACACCGAATCTACTATAATAGTATCTTGGGAACATAGTACCAGAGAATTGCTTCTTACATAATAATATCTCTTTATCTGTTACACTGTGGAAATTAAAACTGTGATTATTAGCGACAATATCTTTATAAGTTTTTTAGCGGATTTGATAAAAAATTTTAGTAATAATGCAAAATTATAATTTAACAATAATTAATATTAATATATCAAATTGAAGTGTAACTTCAACCTCTGATATCGATTTCTAAATTACACACTTATTTAAACTGTTAGGATCTATTCTACCAAGTCTGCCAAATATTATAATGTTACCCTGCAATAAAAACAGTGTAATGTTTTTCATAAAGATACTCGAATACGGGTGAAACTTTAGCTTATATTTTATAAAATTAGTGTAGATAAACCTGTTGTAAAAATATTATAATTGAATTAGTATTGGTGGGTGAAATTATTCATATAATATTGATTTTATCGCTTTACGATACAATAATGAATGACAAAGTATGCATAGCATGTACGAAAGCACAAAAGCAATGAATCGAATTTTCTGAAAAATTGAAAACACATATACGTTACAAACTACACATAATAAAACTAGTTTTTTTAGGTAAGTTCTTATTCTTCTTAGGTAAGTACTTTTCAGTGATTTTTCTAATAGCGTTGAAAATGTTTTTCAACTTCCATGGCTATTATTTTTACTTTTTCTCAGTTATTATACACAGTATTTCTAAATACTGATGATATAATAAAAAATCAAATAAAGATTATTGATAAATTAATTAACACAAACTAATGAATCTGATTTAAACTTAATTGGCGTTCTCGATTTTGTCGTTTAAATAAAATGCTCATAAACTAGTGGGAGAACAAGATCCTTTAAAAGTGCGATTCATTTTTTTTATATTTTCAATACTAAACGTCATTACATCTACAATTTTATACGCTACTTAGAAGGTTTTTATCTTAGGAAAGGGAAGAATACTATAGAAATTTAAAAAAAAAACATACATACGTCGTAGACTAGAATTTTTTAATTTTCATTTGGCATAATTACTATTAGCTAAATGTTACACGTACAATAAAACCGACAAGGAAGTAAAATATTCGGCCATATGAATAAATAAACCTGTACTTTTACAGATAGGTATAACTGCCGACAATTAAAAACTTCGAATAGATTTAGAAACAAAAAAATAGATATAGGTACATATGTATGTGTATATTTGAGAATGTGCGTGGATTTTTGACAGATCGTAATAATGCCGGGAGATTACACGGACAAATCATATACTTAGTCTGATTTTCAAATGGGCGGTCTTTTACACAAATTGGTCACCATGTGTTCTTGTTTAGATATGTACATTAAATATTATTAGTGTTAATTATAACAATCTTTATTTATACGCAGCGATATTATATACACGTTAAACAAAGAATAGATATCTATTTCTGTTGATTTTCTGTGTTAAATATGTCGTATTAGACCGCGTACAAAATTCGATAATTCAAAATACAATTCAGAAACTGAAAAACGACTTTAGTTTCTGCGTTGCAAGCTGAACACATTTGTAAGTACGTGGTCTTGCTAGGCATTTCTCGAGGATATCACTAAAACTAAAATTTTCTATCGTAATTTTGAGAGAAATTTATTATAGGCCATGACATTATTAATTATAATTACATTTTTAGCAATATTGTTAAACACATTTGCCATGTCTCGATAACGTCTAAGAATTATATGCTTATTACAGAAACGTGTCTAAAGAATATACAGGGTGTTCGACCACCAGTGAGAAAAATTTTAATGGGAAATTTTACAGGCCAAAGACGAAAATTAAGAATATCAATTTCTTGACTGAGGCTTCATTAAAAAGTTATTAAAAAATTTCAAATCATTCTGAAAAAATTATTTTCGGTTGCGGGGCTCAATTACAATCATTTTTGGTGAATACACATACCCCTGAAATCCTACCCACTTTCGAGAAAAAAATTCGAGTAGGTACAGAAATTTTAGACAAAATTAAAAAAATTTCAAATCATACTAAAAAAAATATATTTAGTTACAGGGGGCAATTACAATCATTTTTGGTGAATAGACATACCCCCGAAATCCGAACCATTTTCGAGAAAAAAATTCATTACTGAAAATATAATGTCTGACCATACGTTGATATGTTTCCCTGAAAATTGAAAAGTTTCAAATCATTCTGAAAAAATTATTTTTGGTTGCGGGGGGTAATTACAATCATTTTTGGTGAATAGACATACCCCCGAAATCCTACCCATTTTCGAAAAAAAAATTCGAGTAGGTACAGAAATTTTTAGACAAAATTAAAAAATTTCAAATCATACTAAAAAATATATATTTAGTTACAGGGGCCAATTACAATCATTTTTGGTGAATAGACATATCCCCGAAATCCTACCCATTTACGAGAAAAAAATTCGAGTAGGTACAGAAATTTTTAGACAAAATTAAAAAATTTCAAATCATACTAAAAAAAATATATTTAGTTACAGTAGGCAATTACAATCATTTTTGGTGAATAGACATACCCCCGAAATCCTACCCATTTTCGAGAAAAAAATTCAGTATGGATGGAACTTTAAATGTTAATAACTTTTTAACGAAGCCTCCATCAACAAATTGATATTCTTGATTTTCGTCTTATTTTGGCCTCTAGAATCTCCCATTACAATTTTTCCCAGGGGTGGCCGAACACCCTGTATAGTCTATAATGATGTGATCAACCACGCTCGACTGACTTGACTGAATAATTGTGAAGTTTTACAAAATCTGGTAGCGTGATACTTTAAAATAACTAAACCGGTACACGTAAGATTCATATTCATGATTAAGGACAGCAAATTGTTATGTTAACAAATTCATTACAAACTTGACCTATCTCACGAAATTGTTCATGTTTCATCCACTAAGGTAACGACACCAGTAGCGGCCATCTTGAAGGTTTTCTTTTTCTCAGGAAGACTACTACTTAAAGAATAAGTGACATTGAATATTTTGTAATGAACCTTTTAATTCTGAGAATGAAAGGTTGAGTATACATATAATGTCAAAAGCTTACGGTCGATGAAAAAAAAAACAGTTAATAATGATAATTTTTATATTTTTTTTTTTAAGCCATCCAATACACACTGTTCGCTACTGATGCAATTACCTTGGCTACCTATTTATTGTAAATATATCACCTACACGAATGAGTTGAATTTTCAATTGAATTCAACAAAATACAAAATCGTAACCATGTGTGTTTGCTTAAAATCTCTCTATGTATATAGATTAAGCGAAACAATCGATCGTCGCAGCAGTATAGACAACGAAAATATAGAATCAGCACAAATGTTTTGTCGTCTAGGAAAAAATTAATCAAATCTAGATAAAAATAGTAATCATAAATGGAAAAGCATAAAATAACAATTGTAAGATTCAAAAGTCACGTAACGTTAATGGTATGGGAATTCAAATTATCCTAAACCTTGATTAATATCTGAATATACACCAAAACGTTTATTTATTCCTCGATGTGCTTTGGAAATGATTAAAAATGTTCTAACGATTAATTGTAACTGTAATTAAGCGACTCAAACACGAGCGACTTTTGTATAGCTTCTCCAGACAATTAATGAATCAAATGGTGACCTGATAGATAGATAGATAATCTCACAAAGAAAGCAAAGGTCAATTTATTGTTACTTTACCTTTGGAATACTATATTATGTATGCGTATATGATTAATGTGCGATATTGACGTGTTATGTAATTTTTAAGAAAAAAAATTCCTCAAGTATCAGAAGATAAATACAATTTATCGTACGTTTCTATGTTTAGATTGAAGTTGATATATATATAAAATAATATGTAGGGAGATAGTTAAATTATTGCATAGAATAGTATGGTATCTATCATAATGTTTCTCGTTTTTCAAATACAATTTTATATTCTGATGCCAATCGGACGACTTTATTGTAACCTCAATTGAACATTTTGTAAAACAAACCTCAAACTCCATCGACAGTCAATAAATAATTATACAAACAGTAATTTTATTATATCGTTTCACCCAGACGTATGATTTCGTTACTTGTTAATTTTTAAACACTTTTTATGCGTATTTACATACATACAGAAGAAATGATCATTAAATAACTTTCTACATGAACTAACAAAAATCGCAAATGACCCTAACACCATTTCAATATTATAGCCAAATTGAAGTTCTAATGAAAATCCTGACGACAAATATTGGAGGTTTCGAAGATAAGGAAAAATTACTGTGGGATAAATATTAAGTGGTATGTCTGAGAAAATAGAGCCAGATGCTCGAAAAACGAAATTCATTTCATTGCTGTACCAAATCGGTGATGTTTGGAAAGGTTGTGTAACAAGGAGTCAATAAGGACAAAGTATAGTTTACACATTATATTTATTATATAGACAAATGATGCAAAGTAAAAAGAAAAGTAAAAAACTTATTTAAGACTGAATTTGATTTTACAATCACCTAACGAACGCATCACATATAAAAATGAACGATAATAACAGTACACAATGAATGAAGAATCTTCAACAATATTGTCATTCCATGTGATTTCAATTATTTTGGAACTATGAGACCTTTGAAAATATCAAAAGTGTTACCGTCCGAATGTACACTGAATATATCCCCGTCCTCGTCGCGGACGCGTAAATATCCGTGTTCATCGATACCTAGAATTTTAACTTTTTTCGACGTACCTGATGATGATAATATTGTCACGTTCTCGTCACTACAAAAACATAAGATAGATCGTAACATTGTGCAACATATTCAGTGAAAAATTTAAAGATAGCTTAACACTAAACCTACCGCGACCGGTCAAATGACCGTTTTTAAAATTTCGTTTAAAATTTCTGACACACAATATTATTTTAGCGCCATTTAACTTCACGACTTTTATTATAGTATAAGTAAAAGTTTACATGCGTGCAGTTCCGAAACTACTAGTGTTTGATTAATAATTGATCCACTGTTGGCAGCGGTGAAGCTTCCCCTTTAAAATGGTTTTTGGTTTTTGTCGATCCGACTTTCCGTTTCGGAGATATCGTAATGTATGTAAAAGGTAATTTTTTTAATCTCGCTGTCTCTGTCTTCGTCTAGCGGAGTCGGACTTCCTTGTCTTTTGCGTGGCGCTACCCCGCGTACGTGACTGCCGTGACCCAGTTTCGGCGGGGTAGTATTTCCAAGAATTTACTACGCACTGTTTACTATTGTCGCGCGCGCGTATCAATGAACTCGCGCGCGCACAACGAAACGTAAACAAACCCTATCTCCGAAACTAGCCACCTCATCGACTTGAAATTAAAATCGCTATATCTCCGGAACTAATAAAGCTATCGACTTGTTCGAACGCTCGTTTTAAAGGGCATCTCATCCTCTATCCAATGACTATACCAGCTACTATAATTTTTGCTATCTCCTATGTTTATTTTCACATTTACTTTGACGCTACATACCCAAAGAAGTTTCAGCAATTCCTACTGATCGTACGACTGGTGTGCGATAAAACTGGACCATAAATTGTTTATTTAATTGAAAATGAATTTAAATACAGGATGTTTGCGTAATTACTGGGCAGCACTTTTTCTTAAATAGTTGTTTTCTCTATAACTAACTACGGTATCGACTTGGTACAAAATTCGTTTCCAAGGTCGTTTTATCTTCTATCCGAAGAAAATTAAAAAACTTTTTAATATAAATAAGAAGGATATCGTTACGAATAAGCATCAAAACACAACTTTCTATACGTATAAAGCAAAAATTAGAAGTACGTTGCCTCGTAAAATAGAAAAAGAAAGCCATTTGACCGGTCGTGGTAGGAATAAGTATACACGAAGTGCCCGTAGGTTTAGTGTTAAAAGACGATACAAAATACCAGAAATAAATAGAAAAATTGCAAACACTTACGAGTGCATCCAATACGTATAATAAGCATCCAAGAAAATATCTTTACGTCCACTTTGCATAATATTTAACCATCTCTCAATCTCATTAAATACAATGGCAAAATATTGTTCGTACGAGATTATTTTCAACTCTTTATGATAAACTTTATTAAACATTTTAATTATGTCGTTAATACAACACGTAGGCTCCTCGTTGAATAAATTTATTCCAACTCCTGCAAGTGCAAACAATTACCCAAAATATTCTATTTGAAAATTCGGGATTATTTAGACATTCAAAGGAATATGGGCATTATTACTCAAATACTTTGTATAAAGAATTATTGCACCGAAGCATGGGGATTAAAAACTCTTGATCCAAAGATCATAATCATTCTTCTACCTTCGAAAGATTTAGACTGAGAACGACCAATTTTTTTCGAGTCATAGAAAATGAAGTACTCAACAACTCTTCTTGACTTTAAGTGTGTTAGATTGTAAGAACGTTTTCTTTACAGTACTTATACACAAAGAAGATATGTAAACTACATTTTATGATGAAACAATTATTTGATGGTATTATCATATGACGGATTATAGTACTTACCAACATTACATATATTAATATCTGACATTATTTGGGTGGATATCACTACTCCACCAATTTTAATTTTATCACCGGCATAAATATCATTAGGCCATTTTAATCTGAGATCAATATCCTATTAGTGAAAATAGTGATTATTTACATTAGTTTCTACATTATAAAATATCATACTTTTATACATTCTAAAAAATTATTCAACAAAGGACTCAAAAATATTTGGTATTCAAAATAAAGAAAAAAAATATTATATCTGCACTAATAATCAGGTCATTTTCTTAAAAATTATTCAAATAGCATAACATACAGTATTACTATGTTTTTTGCATTTCAGCTCGACATAAAAGTCGCTACTTGCCTATTACTACAACAGTGTATATAATAGTGTTTAACTGAATTCTACGCGGTTAAACAATTAAAAGTATGCACCACAAAAATAAAATTTAAATTGAGTGGCGTTAACAAATGTCTTAAGAAAAAATATTAATAAAAAAAAAACCTACGGAATACTACAACAGGATGCATATAAGAATATAGTATAGTAATGATAAACCTCATATCCAGGTAGAGATTTAATGGCAGATATAATCGCAACAGGAACCAAATTTTGCAAAATCGAGATACACTTTCCAAGTATCGTATTCGTCGGCACGTGAATTTGTAAACTAAACATCGCACATCCCTTTGGACTGAGCCATTTGTTCTTACTTCGCCCTTAAAAGTAATACATACCATGTTTATTACAACTGGTATAGCATAATGTGTTTAAATATAAAACATAAAATCATTACTGTTTTATATTTTAAAATTTTGAAGTTTTATCATACGAATTTGATTATTTAAACCAGTTGTATTAAAATACAAGATTAACTCTGACCAACCAACCCACTCATAGGTAATATTAATCTCGAAGATCAATAATAAAATATAACTGTACGTGTAGAAACATGGCTCAACTATTGATTTTGAGCTTCGAGGATTCAACTTCATTAGAAAAGACAGGGTAAATTGTCCAGGCGGAGGAATTATCATCCTAATTAAAAGATCTCAATTTAACTGAAATACTGGCTATTCAGATTTCAGCAACAAAATTTTTTTCATTTAAAGAATATAATAACGCATTAGTATAGGCTGAAAGCGTGGAAATATTTACATACCTCGACCTTGAGTTTGTTGTCGAGCAATAACAGCCAAACCATGCTGCAATTGGTATCCATTTAAGATGTCCATCGTTGATGTCATTACATCCGCATATATCACTAAACGGCCGAATTGCTTCGAAGTCAAGTTCTGTGGCAAACAAAATAAAGGCAAGTTAGCAAATGAAAAAAAAAACGAATGTTTTTAATTTGTATTTGAAATTAAAATTCTTAACGAGAAGATAATTGGTGACAATAGAAGTTCACATTCTCACTAAACGTTGTCGCTGATGCAACTTTGAATAAATATTACCTCGAAATACTCGATCGTCGAAAAATTATCGGGACACTGATGTAGCATTATTGGAAGCAACGTAGCGGAGGCTGAACGTGCAGTTGCACTACTTCGACAGAATTGTATTTCTATATTTGGAAGCTTTAAAATATCGTTCGATTGCATAACATCTTTTAATTTTTCTAACATTTCCTGCTTCAACTGCGAACAAATTAATGGAATAGAATATATGAAAAGCAGTAACTACCAATGAGTTATTTATTTTGGAACATTTAATTGCGTGAATTAAATATATTTTACGTATTATTGTTTCTTTTTTTTTTTTATAATCAATCGATATTTTTCTTACTTCGTGATGCCCCAAGAAGAAAGCTGGCGTATAAGTTATAGGTGTTCGCGAAGTATGCTGAATTTCTATACCGAGATGAACATTTAATAAATCATTAAGTATCTCTATTCTGGCAGCGTTGCTTTCTTTCAGAGCTTTAAATTTACTCTCCTCGAGTTCGTACTGCATCGGGTCCACTTCCAGGTGTATTTGGGAGAAAACAATTTTACCGCCATTTTCCGTAAGGCTCGCGAGCAAAATGCTCGGCGTGTGCCATGTTTCTTCCGTCCCTAACACTTTCACGTTAAACGAATGCGAATTTCCCCTTTTATCTTTCACGTTCGCTGACGTCGGGGGAGGGAGACTAGATACTCTAAACAAAATTTCGTTTGAAACGTCTCCAATCTACGCAACTTCGCTTAATTGTAACACTTAAATATAATTGTAAATATATACTTAAATATATTTAGAATTATCTATTTTTCTATCTTGAACGAAACCTGTTTACAAGCGTTGTTAATGCAAAGTTATGTAGCCAATAAATATCTTACTTTACGTCTTCGTGATCCTGAGAGAATCTCGTTCTTATAGGAGACGCTTGATAACAGAAGATATGATGCATCATGCGTACGTGTTTCCATTTTCCATATGAGAAATGAACGAGCTCGTTCTCGCGTACTTCCGCGGTTTTAAACGACGGAAGTAAAATGTGAAGTACGTCGGAACATAAAGCGAGAAGTTTACCACCGTGAAGAATATATTCAACTATTTGATTTCCAACCTCATTACCGACATTTCCACAGACTACAACCAAAGCTGCTTGTTCTATCCACGAGCCATTACGTGCCTCTTCTAAGGATAATGCATAAATGGCATATCTGTTTACAAGAAAAAATACGCTGAACAACATTAAAGATGAGACACTATATTTGACACTTGATTAATTTAAATTATTTATATTAACGAGCAGCGGTTTCTTAAACTACCACATTAAAAATTCTTTCTCACACACGAATAAAGTTACAGATACATACTTGTTTATATACAGGGTGTTCGGCCACTCAAGGGAAATATTTTAATGGGAGATTCTAGAGGCCAAAACAAGACGAAAATCAAGAATACTAATTTGTTGATTGAGGCTTCGTTAAAAAGTAACCTATGAAATGCATTTGTCTGGGGCTTTTGAGCTCCATTAATATACATTGTTCGAATTTTGAATCATTAAAATCCTTCAATCCGTCCAGAAGTTATGATTGTTTAAACATACGCATGAAATTTCAGCAAGGAATTTTTTTCTCGAAAATGGTTCGGATTTCGGGGGTATGTCTATTCACCAAAAATGATTGTAATTGACCCCTGTAACTAAATATAATTTTTTTAGAACGATTTGAAATTTTTTTTTTCGTCGAAAAATTTCAGCACCTGTCGACTTTTCTTAAAAATTCGTTTTTGATTTTTAGTAATTTTGTTTGACGCCTCACAGAAAAGTTGTCTAATACTTTTTCGTAGGTATCCATGAGCACTACTTCAGAAAATAATTTCGTTGAAATATATTCACTATTGTGGGAGTTATGGCCGTTTGAAAATTAAGCCATTTTTATGGGGTTTTTCTCACTTTACGGGATCAAGGAACAACATTTCGATTATTTTTGGAATTTCCACATATTCTCCAACAAAATACGCGTAGTTTGTCTTTTCAAACATTGAAATCCTCCAATCCGTTCGGGAGTTATGATGTTTCAAAAATTTGCATGAAATTTCAAGGAACCATTTCATACCACAGAATATATTTTCAGCAAGAAATTTTTTTCTCGAAAATGAGTAGGATTTCAGGGGTATATATATTGACCAAAAATGATTATAATTGACCCCTGTAACCAAAAATAATTTTTTTAGAACGATTTAAAATTTTTTAATTTCGCCGAAAAATTTCAGCATCTACTCGAATTTTTTTCTCGAAGATGCGTAGGATTTTGGATGTATATTTGTTCACCAAAAATGATTGCAATTTCCCCCCACAACGGAAAATAATTTTTCCAGAATGATTTGAAATTTTTTAATTTAATTTTTTTAGGAATTTTGTAACGAAACTTCAATCAAGAAATTGATATGCTTGATTTTCGTCTTATTTTAGCCTTTAAAATCTCGCATTAAAATTTTTCCCAGAGATGACTGAACACCCTGTATAAATACAATTCAAATTTTAAAAAAACATTTAAAATTTTTTTGACAGGAAATACAGAAAATTAACGTACTTATCTGTGCCGAGAGACTTCTCCAATACGTCCTTCACGTTATTAAGTGCAATACTACTATCTGCAAATATTAAAACATTTGGTGGTTTTAAAATTTTAGCCGATAATTTTGCTGTCACTTCCTCCATGGATTTTCTATAAAATAAAAACATCGACGGAATAATAATTCTGACCTAACAGGAACCAACACGATAAGCTTCACATTTCAAAAGCTTTAACAATTTAGTTATGTAACAATATGTAGTGTAGGACGTAAGAGACAAGGTTCACTCAATGACTGAGGTAACCCTTTACGACTATAACTTATTTTATTTTACCCACGTATAACAGTATGTGTACGACTCAGCCCTAAACAACACCACCCCTATTTTTTACTGCAGCAAATAAAATAAATAAATTTAAGAAAAATTTATTTTAAACGTTTTTAAATTCACGTAAATCCAACTTCTTTTAATGATAGACCAGATGGTTACAATATTAATGTGATTCTTTTAAAAAGAAAAATTTCGACGATAGTAGTTTGATTTATGGGGAGGGGGGCATTTTGCATAAATGACATACTGAAACTGAGTTTTCCATCAAAACGAATAGCGCAGAATGCATCAGCATATTACAAAACAATTTATTAACAAAAACAATACTGTGAAATGGAGACGTTCCAACAAGACAACACGGCCATACACGCGATGGTTTCGATCAAACCGGATTAATGTTATCAAATGGTTGGCGCGTTTTCCTGACCAAAATCCTATGGAAAACGTCTGGAGTATAATTGTAAAGGTTTATAAAAAAAATCGAGAATTTCAAAACGATGTAGGGTTAAAAAAAGCGATAATTTTGGCAAGCGAATTCGCAAGAAGATCTTTCAAAGCCTCATCGATAGCATGCCAAATCGCATTTTTCAGGTCGTAATAAAGAAAGGTGGGCCTAAAAATTATTACCACTAACTATTAGCGATTGTTATACATTTACTTAACCTATTTCTACAGTACTTACTTGAAATTACTTTTGGATGGTATCGCTTTACTATCCTTTGTACTGTAATAAGTTATTTGGTCAAAAGACTTGCTGGAACTCTCGGTATCGACACAAGATGCTTGTATAATCTCTTTAATGTCAGATGTTAATAAGTTGTCGAGCAGATCTACTGATTTATTCTCGGAATGTGATATATCTTGAAATTGAACGTTATCATTAGACTCGTGTTACGTTTGATACCAGCTGATTCTCTGGTTGTGGAACGCTTATGGAAGTTGATGTAGAAACACGGATTTGTACCTTCGGTTTCGGATGTTAATAAGTTGTCGAGCCGATCTACTGATTTATTCTCGGAATGTGATATATCTTGAAATTGAATGTTATCATTAGCAGAGACTTGTGTTACGTTTGGTACCGTCTGACTCTCTTGTTGTGGAATGCTTATAGAAGTTGGTGTAGAAACACGGCTTGTATCTTCGCTTTCTAAAATAAATATTTATTTTCGTTCAGTTTCGAGGCGTACAAAAATAATGTTCGTAATAAAATAATGAACCAAAGTGTATTACTATAAAAAAAATATTGCAACTCGGTGAAAATCTCATTCAAGAACTGAAAGTAAGCTTAGATTTAAATAGATGATTCCTACAGTTTTACCTAGTATTTCGTTTGATGCTACACGATATATACATTCAACTTCTTTGTCTGTTACGCAATTTTCTGGATATACTACTATGCCTGGAAATTCCTCGACTTCTAACGATTTACGTTGCTCTGATGCTATCTTGGCAGTGTTACTTAGTGCTCTTAGTTTTTCTATATGTATCTCCCATTCTGCTGTATCTAGTTTTTATTAAATCAAACAAAAATTATAATTACATATTACATTTTATAATTTTATTTCTCGCATAGCACGAACCACATAGCTAAATCACCTTGATTACTTCTAGTGCTACCAATTCAAATTTCTTCGATACAAAATAATTTAGCTAAGAATTACCTAAATACCGATTATAATACCTCGAAACGTGCAGATTTTATACCTAATGGATTCTTCACTCTAAACTTTCTGAATGAATGATTAAAAATTTATTTAGAAAAATACATAAATCGTGAATCTTGTATGGAAAAAATGATTTCGTAAAATCACTTTTCCTCCTAATATCTTTATATGTACTAACACTTGAGCAAACCGAAGGAGATCGTCAACTATTTAGTTCTATTATTATCCTAATACTATTAAACAAACACTAGCGATATATTTATTTATATTTATAATCTTATTGGCCACGAAAAACCAAACATTTCTTACATTTAACATTTTTTTCTACCTTCATTAGTTTCCGAGATACTTAGGGAAATGTGTTTCCCACCTTTGGGGGTGGAAAACACCCCCTAAACATGAACATCAGCAGTTGAAAAAATACGTATCTAATGTTTTTCAATGCTGTATCAGTATTCCAAATTTTAACAATTGGATGATGTCTTTTATAAAAATTATATTTAAATTCTATAATGTGCTTGGATATTTATATTAACTAAGATTAGAGTAGTATGCATGGGAGTATGAGAGAGCGCCATCTAGTGAGTAGATGTGAGCAACGCTCCTCAGAGCGGCCTGTAAAACAAGTGAGTGTAAAACACAAGGTGTGTGAAAAGCAATCAGGAGTTATCTAAATTTTCCCTAATCCATCTGTAAATAATAAAGGCACGATATAACATGGCACAGTGGGTAGTGTGCGAAGAGAAATATATTTAAGAAGAATTTTTGTCAAGAAGATCTACAAAAGAATTGGCAAATTGGCGAATAAAACCAAAGAAGAAAAACGGACAAGCAAGAAAGAATAAACAAGAAGAGAAAAATAACGAATAATATTGCTGGAATAAAAGAAGAAGTCTAGCGCTTCCAATTGGCACGCATAACCTGAAAGTCGAAAGCGAAAAACACGTGGAAACCGCCAACGAAGAAAATGATGGAAAAATTAGCCCTAGGAATCGGTATTGTGTATAGGAACGTTCTTAAATATATTTTAATAATATAATTGGTCCACGTTTTCTCACCTGGTCTCCCAAGAACGCAAGCAAAGTGAACGATGAAAAGTGGATCACCTACGATAACAAAAGCGTAAACGATCGTGGAGTCACAGCAATAAATCACCACCACAAACAATAACAAAACCAGACCTTCACCCAAGAAAAATTATGGCACCAATTTGGTGGGTTATAATGGTGTACTGTTTTATGAATCACTCCTAAACAATAGAATTGTTAATTCCACGACAACACCAAACTCCATACTTTGCTTAAAACAAAGCAAAAGTCTTACAAGTTAGGCTAGGATATCCACCATACTTCTCAAACATTGCCCGACAGCGTTTCATTTGTTTCGTTCAATCGCCAAATGGAAAGAAATTGCGGAAGTGTTCGATCGAACAAAGCGTAATAATAATAATAATAATAATATATCAAACGTTTTGTATCCTCGCGAAACAGAGCGTTTTAGTTATGTTCTATAGAACAATAAATTTTCCATTTTAATCGTTGACACTATTGGACATTATATTTGTATTTGCCGCCGTGCGAATGTGCTGACACCTAGCGGCTCCTTGTTTTATTATGTGTGTTGTGTCGCGTCGTCACTCGTATAGGCCTGTAGCTTTTAGTAAAAATGGTTAGCCACGTGTTTGTAAAATAAGAAAGCGTTACATAGATTGTTACTAAGTTCAGAAACAGTTAATTAACAATATAAAATAATAAAAGAGACTGAGTTTATTTACAGAAACATCCCGATTTGACTAATGAGAAGTGTCCTACTTGAAGTGTGGGTCATGGCCCATTGATGGTAGTAAAATGACACTGACTATGCAAATCCTCCCCTTCTCCAATCTATAAAAATTTCAGAAGCCCTACTATAAACAACTATTTTTGTGCATTACACTGTACCTACAAAACTAATTTTCATTTTTTACTATAACTCTCAAAAAACATTTTTATAAAGAATTTCTGTAAATTTTAAACTTACTGAAATGGAAAATTCAGTTAAAAAACTAAAAATTAGATACTAATGTAAAATAAAGTAGCAACCAAACTACACATATACACATCTAATCTGTTTTGCGATCTTACTTTTAATTGATGGTGAATTCAACAGGTCGTTGTTATAAAGACAAGGCTTTCCTGATATCAGGACAGCTGAAATCACAAAAAACTACTTTAATCCGACAATTTCGATTAACAAAATTTAATTCCATACTTACTTTCTATACGTTTCAGCAACAAGCCATTATTAATATAACATTGACCTTCCATCGATGCGATTAAAAATTTTGCGACCGTATCTAAATCTGTCTCTATAATTAAATCGATACTTTTATTAGCCGTCCAAGTAATAATTAAACCATAATCTTCAACCTAGAAGATACAATGTATGCAAATTATGAAAATATCGTTGTACACTACAAGTCTTACTTAACATTATTAATTAAAATTAAATGGCTGTTTCGTCAATAACAATAGTGCACTATAAGTTTTCGAACTTTCTACATATTATTGCAGCCTTTCTGTAATACTCCCACTGACGGCCAAACAAAACTTTTAATTGGAGTAACATTACAAACTCGAACATATAATAATGTCTGTAGAAGCATTGTTTATTGAATTGCAAGTAATATTTCGCCTATCCCAATAGAAAAATGAAAAAAAAAATGAAATTTTTCATGAATATGTATATGAAAATTATGACTAACAAAATGACCATCGATTTGCGGATCGAAAATTGCACCATATTTGATCTAAGGCATATCTGAACCTCGGTGAAGAAACCAGGCGGCCATTTGTTAAATTTAGAACTAAAGCCACGCAAAAATCATATTCTTAATGCAAACAATTATTATAACATAAACAAATACTACCTTTGTAGCTTTTGCTGCGGCAGTGGGTTTGTAGCTCTGAAGATCAGCTTCAACAAGAATATAAAGTTTGTACTCTGATTGAAATAAAGTTTCACTACAATTATTTGTATACAAGGGGAAAACTGTTCTGCCATACTGATAAGTCAACCAACTTGAGATGTCAACCTGTTGCTGGCAAAACAGTAATAAATTAAAATGTCAATCGGCAATACTAAACTCGAGCTACTATAATTTTCTTATACTATTATTGCTTAATGCATACTTGTGGATATATAGTGCACAATCTCATGTCACCATGATACCATAACAATTCGTCGAGTTTAGCATCACTTTTGTTTGAACACAGACAAGAAGTCATAAACTCGTCATTTTCACACTCATCCGTGGCGCACTTTGATTCTTAAAATAAGAAATAGAGATTTCATTATACCCTTCGTACAGAAATACTTCTAAATATCCTCCAAAACATACAAATGTTAAATATGCACGTGCATTATTACTAAACTGAAAAGCAAGTGTTTAGGACTGCCACCCATCTGGTTTTCATAAAATCTCCAATTTTAGTTACCTATTTTCCAGCCTTCGATTTATTATAACAGAAAGTCGATTTTGAAAGTAATTTTAACATCTAGATTTGTTAATGAATGTATCCAATGCCATTTTTAGTGTTGTTACTTTGCAAATGTACGTTCGGTTAAAAAAAAAATGTTGTATTAATGAATTTTAGAAACTTTTCGAACTTACAATCGAAATCCCAAAATACTAACCGCATACTCTCTGGATACTGTAATGTATAAAGGTGGCAGCTCTATAAATATAATAAAAAATTACTTATAAATAAAATTATATGCGTATTAATAATAAATGTAACTACAAATATAACATTAAGTTCGATAATAAACAGGAAAACGAAATACAAAATCAAATACAAGACAATACATAACAAATAATGTTACTCGTACAACGTAATGAAATAAGATATTTATTGCAGGTAATAATAATAATATTTACTTAAAACAGAGAAAGTAAATGTTCTATTACACCTACTTATTAATTGCTAGAAATATATGTATAGTAAAAATATTGATTGTATAACAAACTCACATCATAATTCTATTTTTAAACACTTCTTATCGCTCGTTACCATAACGTCACTATACATATGCAAAATGTTGACTATAAAACAAATTTACTAACTCAATAATAATACAAATAATACTTGTATATTACATTTATTTCGTGTGTTTGTACGTGTTCATAAATATAATAATAAACCAATGCCTGTGTAAGTAAGAAGAACTATAACATAACTAAATATAAACATGGAATAACAAAATTAGTCCACCCTGTACCAAGAAGATTACAAGCAGTTTTGCACGCAAAAAGGGGGACTGACGAAATATTAATATGGAACCCATTCGTATTTGCCGCCCAAGCGTTATGAGGGAGCTGCGGTCAGTAGCGACAGTAAAACAGACGAGGAGGAACAAAGGTGACCAAACGAAAGAGACGCAACGCGAAACATGTGTTATGTTATATTTGTTTGCAACAACCACACCGTCGACAAGAAGTAACTTTAGAAATCGTTTGGATACTCTGCCAAAGCCAGTTAAAGAAGATTTTCTTTATATTTATAAAAAAAAGGTATCAAGTTGTACTTCCATTGGAACCATTTGCGACCGAAATTCTACAGCACTCATTAGAGGATATTGGTCAAACGATTTGCCTCCTGTCATTACAATTATGGAGACCATGTTTGATTTCCATCGAAGGAACGTCTGAAAGAAAATTACTTTCGAAGAGGTATATGGGAAGACGAAAAGCGGGCTGAGAGTGGTAGAAGGAGCAGGGGAGGATGCTGGGATCATTTGTAAAGCTACAATTTCGGAAATGAATTCAGTCAAATCGATGAAACAAAGATCGGTTGTATCAACCACATATAGATTCGATTTTTCGAATGTCATATAGATTGAATTTGAGGAAAAGAAGAGAAACATTTAAGAGGAACTTCGAGAAGACATAGGACCACTAGTTGCTGTACCAAAATCGCAATGAACCTCGAATGATGGCAATACTACCAGAAAATTCTTCGAACAGTGGGTAGAAAATAAAAACGGAAGAATTTTAAATGTTTACAATCTGCTGAATGATGCATATTATTGGAAAACTTTACCAGAAGATATGAGTGAAACAAACAGTAATTCCTTGCATACATGTTTCAATAATATAAATAACATTAGTGCATTTAAATGATGTACATAACGAAGTATCCCCCCCCCCCCTCCCTCCCTCCCTCCATAAGATAAATATTGTCTTTCTAAGGAAACTCAGGAAAGCAGACACATAGATTTGAAAAATATCAAATGTAAGAAAACATGAAAATACTGTTAAAAAAATAATAACTAATGAAACTATAATGAATAGATTGTTCCTAACGTTTGATTCTTATACATATATCTAAAAGAAACATGAAGATTTAGATTTTCTGTTAAGTGTGATCGGCGCAAAGTTATTAATCCGATGTTCAATTTTCGGCTCTTACTACGCTGGACATCATATCAATTTCCATTTTTTATATACAATTTCTTTACAACTACGACGCTGATTACATTTAAAAATTTGTCAAACGATTTGATCTACTTAAAGCTAACTGTATAGTAATGCAAAACTGCGATAATTTCCGATCTTGTAAGATAATTGAGAAATTCCGCTCAGTGTTCAATATGATAATGTAAATTATATTTGTGTGATGTAGCAATAATACTATAATTACATAACGGTGCAATTAAGTACTAAGAAATTAATTACCGGAAAAATACAAATTATAGTCATTAAGGGAAATTGAAAATAACGCTGAAAATAAAGTTTTGTGTTAGATATAGTATACGTATAAAAATTAAATATTCGTATAACACGCTTCTCTTTTAATTTTTCTAACTCTTAAAATTATTTCCAAGAGTTCAAGTGCAATTACATTAAATTGTATACACTCGACTTAAAGTCTTGATTAATGTAGTTTGAAAAGATATTAAACATATATATAAAATATAATTTGATAAAATAATTAAGTGCAAGTTTAATTTACACATGCGTATTAAAAATTAACGTTAATAAAATTCAAGTTTAAATTATTCCTGTGAAACTTTGATATCTTTACTATGTCATGGAAACCATTTATCAAGTGGACTATTTAAATTAAAAAAAATAAATAATTTTAGTAAATCATTTTGCATAAATATATGATTTTCATTGGATTTTAAAAATTGTATTTTTTAATAAGAATTAGTAATACCGCTGGAGCTTCAATATATCTTAATATATATAATGTTACCTTTACATGAATCTAACAGTGTTTTATTATAAAACATGATTGATGGGTAATGAGTTGTATTCCCTTGAAACAAATTACGTAAATGGGTTTTTAAAAACAGTATCCTTCTGGACTGTATTGAAGTTGCTATCATATATAACAATGTTAAAATCATCTTGGTCAAATTGTATTCCTTTTAATGATTATGGGATGACTTGCACCTGAAACAAAAAATCTACATCATACTTTATATTTATGTTAATTATGAATATGTACAATCAGTAAAATTACAACAATATATATTCAAAATATAGTCAATATACAATATTGGATACATGTATAAGCAGTAATAATGTAATAATTTTTACGGTGAAAATTGTTTAAATAACTCAAAACCACTTCATCAAACGACTTTGAGTTTTAAAGTCAATATATCGTACTTTCATATACCGGTATTTTACCTATATTTACCGATAATTTTTTCGGTTCCTTTAGTTATTAAAAAATTAAATTCAAAAATTTCAAATTGTTCTGGAAAAATTATTTTCGGTTGCGGGGGTCAATTACAATCATTTTTGGTGAATAGACATACCTCCGAAATCCTATCCACTTTCTAGAAAAAAATTCGAGGTGTGAAATTTTTTGACGGATTTCAAACCGTTTTGGAAAAATTATTTTCAGTTGCGGGGGCCAATTACAATCATTTTTGGTGAATAGAGATACCCCCGAAATCCGAACCAATTTCGAGAAAAAAAATTGAGTACGAGTATATTTTTCTCAAATATACGCAATCACAAGTCATAAAAATAATAATCGAATATTCACTTATTTATTAAGTTACAATGTCAGCACTTACTGTAAATTCACGTTCACACCAATTAAATATAATTTATCGGTTGTTGAACTATGTATAAAATATTCATAAACATTTCTTCTATTCCCACCAATTTCTTCTACGTGCACTAACACCAATAAACTATAACTAAACTACGTAATACACACTAAGTTAGTTTTCAATTCCAATGTTGTTTAGTTCCTCCGATTGAATCCGTTCAGTGCTCGATCGTAAGACTGACTGAGTGTTTATATTCCCATGTTTTGTCATCAGCTTCGAGACAAGCCTTAATTTATTTATAGAAATGTGCTTCGAGGTCCAAGGCTTCATACGATGTTATGTAACATCTCAGCGAAAAGAAAGTATATTGTTTTATTTTTGATCATTTAATCGAAATAAAAAAAACCAAAAATTTACCGGTAACCATAGATAAAATACCAGTATTTTCGGTGAAATTGTTGATAATATCTGTCTTCATAGATTTTGTTCATTTTTAAATATATTACGAAACATGATATTTTGAGTAACTAATTATTTCCTTTGAAAAGCTAGTTTTCGAGATATTTGTAAACAACTACTGCTACCACTACATGAAACCTGCCTATACATGTACGACCGTGAGAACGTAAGTATCATCGGATGATCGTCGCTTATCTTCCGCTTTTTTTTTTACAAAGCGTCGCAGTAGCCACAAACATATGTACATACATAATGTACGTTTAGAACGGAGATATAATTTCCATTTCTTTATTAATATCATGGATATTGCAAAATAATAATCAAAGATCAACTTAATTACTCTGAAAATGATTAAAAAGCGGCATATGATTCCATGTATACAGAAAATAAGAAAAGTTTCCATTTACAAAAATAACGCAATTGCAAAATGCAAGTGTATTATTGCATTTATAAAAAAAATATGATAATGAATATGTAGTCTATTTAAAACCATTCATCTTTTTCCTCTAACACTATTTTTATAACTTCAAACAACAAAAAATATGATTTGTTACAGTTGTGTGATGCACCTTTAACGAAGAACACAAATTTTATAATAAAATTCTCCACATTTACTAATCATCCCAACTCATTATTGCAGCAACCAATATAAAATGTAATACCACTTTGGCCTTGTATCTTCAATTTATAAATAACTTCATAAATAAATATGTATATGAAATACAACAAAAAACAATTTACATTTAAGGTCAACTTTATTAAGTAGCATATTTACATACTCAAACAAATATATTCTGTATAACTTAAGGTGATCTTTGTTAGTTCAGAACATTAAAAACAAATATTTTAACATAAATTCCTTTATGAAACATTATTGACATTAATTTGATGATTAAAAACTATTAATTTATTGAAGAAATATGTAAGCCAAAGAACTCTGGTAAAAAAGACACGTGTCTTTGATATTTGCTGACTTTTTAGAAATTACTTTATCGTATCAAGTCCTTTGTTAAATATGAATAAAGATACTAACAAATAAACTGTGTCGCCTCTGTTTTAATTTTTATTTACATGATGTTACCGTTCAATTCCCATAACTGTGTCAATTTTTCAGATATTTTAAAAACATGTTTTCAAAACCTGAAGCTTTAAGGAAATGTAATAAAACGATCAACGTTTTTTATGTTCTAAACTAGAAGATCCCTTTAACATAACAACTCAAGCATTATTCAATTCTGATCCAGTAAGACATTTAACTTAACCTAAAAAACTGTGAATACGTATGCATGTGTGTAAATGTGTGTAAATCTGAGAGAATAGTTTACCAAATGAATTTAAATAACAAATCCAAAAACGATAATACTATAGAAACTTTTTCACGTTACTCTAAACTAATTAATGTTTACTAGATGTTGTTAAGTTATGAACTCTGCTAATGTATAAACGTAATCAAGCTACTAGCAATAGTTCCTTGCAAAAAGAATATAAAATGTCACGTACCTCAAATGCTACTGTTTGTTTATGATGCTAAAAACGAAAACATAGGTTATTAATAACACTCATCTGATATTTCACATCGATAAACTATCACAATTATAATATGAGGATATTACACATGGTTTACTAATTTATTGACGCTACAATTGTTATGCGTGTCACCACAGATGGCGTTAAAAAAGAATAAATGTAGCGACCCCTTGACAAACTAGAGCAACCACCAGATGGCCAAGAAAAATTTTGATCGGTTATTGCTTATTGCTTCGTGCAAATTAATAATCAACAATCTAGTCATATATATGATATATCATATAAAATGTTGAGAACCGAAAGAGAAAGGAGTTGGAGCAAAAGCTCTCACTTTACGTTTTCTAACAGACTGCCAACAAATCAATCACAACAAATGTTTAAGTTAAGATGAATGGGTTTCAGAGATAGGGAGAGTCAAAGTAGTCGAAATTAATAGTACGTGGCAGCTTATATGCTTTGAAGTACTGATTTTTAAGTTAGTTAGATAATTTGTAGTATATAAATCAGCGAATCACACCCTTTCACATCCAATCAGATACATACTACAGAGTTCAGATGGCACTAGAAATTTTATTATTTTAGTACACACATTGTCAATTATTATAAAGGTTATGTTAACCTATAAAACACAAACACCAAGAAATAATTTTAACATGATAATATTATAAAAAATACAGAATCTACAGAACGTATAAATTTTGTTCTTAAAGTAAATATAGAAATATGAGTACACAGAAAGGCAATTCAAATCGATCAAGACCTCAAAAGTATAAAAATCGAACTGCTTTTAAAAATGACTTACATGATACATCACACAAAATAAAAATCATTAATAATATCGATGTTGCAAATGTATGTGAAAGATGTAAACAAGTAATTGAATGGAAAATTAAATACAAGAAATATAAACCATTAAAAGCACCATCAAAGTGTACAAAGTGTCAACAAAAGTCAGTGAAACATGCGTACCATAATGTGTGTTTACCTTGTGCTAAGCAATTTAAAGTATGCCCAAAGTGTGGTGTTGAAAGTGATATCGTTGAAGGAACACTCAGTAAAGAAGAATCTATGAAGTTAGATAAAGAGTTGCAAGCACTTCTCAAAGAATTACCTGAACGAAAGCGTAGAACATTTATACGTTACATGAATCATAATGGTATTGAAAATACATATTATATTATAATACATGTATATATATTTTATAACAGTAGTAAAAATATTTGTTTCAGCTTCAAATAAAACAAAAAATAAGAACAACAAGGAAAATGGAAACGAAGAAACCGAAATTGAGGAGCAACAAAAAAATGAAACTATGGTTGAAGATAGTATATCCAAAAACGAATTGTTATCAAAATTAAGATCATTACTCATTAAAGAAAAAGATAGTGAAAACTTTGATATTGATGATGATTTGGATTCAGATTCAGATTCAGATTCAGATACATTTACGTAAAAAATAAAATATATTTATATAAGTTGTTAAAGAAGATCAAGTCAGAAACTGTTATATAAAAGACCAAGAATGGGGAATGTTGAGCCTGCCTGCATTTTACAAGTACATAAATAGCGGTTTCGTATGTTGGAAAATAAATAATATGAACACTAAAAAACAATAATTTTGTTAGTACAGTTTGCTTTATTCAAACCTTAGCCCAGAATATACCTCATTAGTAATAATTAAGATATTTGACCTTGGGTAACCTTTGGAAAGCCTTGACCTTACATGTTTTATTAGATATTTTTGTAGCTGACATCAAAACATTTTCAAAACACTACTTATTTGTATATTTCGTGTGTTTTGTGTAGTAAAAAATAATTCATGAAAATGAGTTTGTGAATTGAATGGAGCTTGAGTTGTGAAGTGTGTATACTTATCTGTAAAGAAGGTTCAATGAATCGTGTATGAGTGGAATGATCGCGCGGGTGTACTTCAGATGCATTCTGCGATCACATGCATCTTATTAACCTTACAATTTCTCATCTATAGCGAATGCTTCAATGACCGACAAAAGTGATTTATCAAATAGAACTATATGTCGAACCACAATTATTTCAAAATTCGTATTCTTTTCGTACTTTTCAGCTCCATAAATTAAAAAAAAAATGTAGACTTTCCTACACTAGCCTCGCTTCTGTCTTTTAGTTATAGAACCTGCCACCCGAGGCACTGCAAAATGTCCACTAAAGAAGAGAAAGATACGTTTTCTACGTTCTTCTTAATCTATGGAAGACGCAGTGTAAGACTGAACTTTGAAAAGGTTTAACGGGTTATTTCCCATTGATAATATCAATTTTACTGTTGTTGCGTATATATTTTTATACAAAATTGCCGCCCCAATTATAAGAATGACGTCGGCAATAGAGTCGATGGTAGTGGATGAAAAACAATTACCAGAAAAACCAATAGACAGAGAAAAAGTACGCATTATTACAAACACGAAAAATTTTGGTTAAAGATGTACATTGTTTTCAAAAAGTTTATATATTTCTTGTACTTCTGTATTAATTCTGATAATATTGAATTTTCAGACGTGCCCACTTTTACTTAGAGTATTTTGCAACACTGGGAGGCATCATAATATAATGGAATACAGTAGAGGAAATGTTCCATCAAATGAATTGCAAATATATACCTGGTAATGTTTCTAAAATATAATATAATATAATAATTCTATGTTAGTATTATCCTCAAAGCTGTTTATAAAGTAAATTTTTTGTATTAAAAGGATGGATGCAACATTAAGAGAAATTACAGGATTAGTCAAGGAAGTAAATCCAGATGCTCGGAGTAAAGGAACATATTTTGATTTCTCATTAGTGACTCCAGAATTACGTAATTCAGGATACCGTATGCGTGAAATTGGCGTTACTTGTTCAGGGCAAAAGGGTGCGGATGATAACAAGACGCTTGCGCAAGCAAGGTACACATTTTTTGTTAAATTAAGGGGGCTTTGTAACAAAAACAATGATTCTATGTATTTATATAATTGCAGGTTTACAATTGGTGATTATTTAGATATCTCTATTACACCACCAAATCGACAACCAGCAATTAGACGTGGTGCACTACGCCAATACTGATATAAACAACAGAAGTTCTATTTTCTATAAGTTATGTTAATAATTTATAAATTTTCTATAAATAAATGATATGCAATACAGAAATTATTATGTTATTACTTAAGAACGAAAATATAATTTACTTTCCCAATAATAGAGAGAACAAAAACTCTATTAATAAAAGTTGTTATTACTTCCGTGAAACGCGTGTTACGTTTCAAATTTTTAACAAATATTTAAAACTTGGTTCGTATTGTTGGGTCATAAATGATCCGTCACTGTTTCAACTGTTTAGTTTATGGTTAAACACTAGTTATTACCTCCATTTGATGTTAACAGACGAAAGATCGATGCTCGGAAACTGCCCTTCGACTTATGCACACCGATACGCAACCACGTGTGTACAACCTCCTTCGGGCAGCTTCGGGCAGCTTCGGGTAGCTTCGGAAATTCGGGAAAGAAGGCGAACGTGAGTCTTTTCTTCTTGCTCTCGAGACTTGAAATATTAATATTTCCAACAATTATTTGCTAAGTCGATATTGTTAATAACTATTTCAACTACTGTCAAATGAAAATGATCAAAAATTATAATCGATAGAACTTATGATACACCGATGTTTGTATAGATCGAAAGTTTCGATGAATTTTTATTCCGAATCGTGATTGGAATTAATATTTATATATTTTTTAAATGTTGTTGGACAATCTTCGACAGATAAGTGTTTTAGGTAAAATGATATTTGTAACTAACATTTATATGATAAGTACATATTAGTGTTGTTACCAGGCAACGCGAGAAGGAAAGGAGTGGGGGGCGTTTCGTCCTGGGTCTGAACTTGAACCGCTTGAACGTCTGAACTCATCAGTAAGGCCCTGCCTTTGACAGTGGAACGTTTGATGGTTAATTGTGAAATGTATATGTGAATAAGTGGTTGTTCAAGTAAATAATACTCGTGGAAGAGGTACAAGATTCAACGTATTTCTATGTTGGCGAGTGCGGGCGGTGTCACCACAGGTACAGAACATTCTTTTTTATTATAAACATAAGCTTTGATATAACCTGTATAACCTGAAGTTAATGTATATTACGCTCAACGCAATAGAAACTATTTCTTGACAAACTTGGGCATTTTGTCATCGAGGACAATAATTAATGAGACGAGTAATATATTTTTATATTAATAATAATTGAATCGTATTCTTAAATTCGATTAGTCGAAAGTTTCGAACGCATTAAACGATATATTATTTAGCTATTACTGGTGACATATTGATTCTAAAAGTGATACAGATTAATTAAGGTGTTACGGTATATTTATACAAACTTAATGATAAATGGATGTGACTACAGCACCTGTGCAATGATTTGTAGAAATACCAATACCGAATGAATAATTAGTATTAATTTGTTTTTAGATTGGATTAATGACAACGCACACACATTTTTATTTTCAGTAGCGAATAAAACGAACAATGCTTGATTTATTATAGTATAACAAAAGTTACGACAGTATGGAATATTAAATACGCGTTGAAATAATTGCAGGTTATACATTAAAATATTGATAAGACAGTCATCCAAGTTTTATTCGAGAAACAGAATCACTAACCGAGCGGTTTAAACAATATTCTTATTAGTTGAGTTACAATACATTTATGACGATTTCTATTTTACATTATGTTTCACAGTAGTAGCTGATCCTCTTATTCGAAGTTATCGTTGGCGTCACTCTGAAAATGAAAATGACAAATTTATATTTCCCTGGGTGGCAAATTCTCTAATTAATAAAGCTTCGATTCACCAGAAATTTGAACAGCTCGACGTTGCGCGGTTTGCTGCCTTGCTCGTTATCGCCATTATTCGATATCAATAATAGTTCTGGTACTTCTTTCCGCTCGTCGTTGATAGTTCCTACAATGCCCTGTATATCGTTAATATTTCTCTTTTTAATTTCATCTATATCCTCGTGACTATTTTGTTCTCTGAAAAAATTTTAATTATAATATTTTTTTATTATAATTATAATAATTTTTTGCGTTTTCTTGTTTACAGTACGACATAACTCACCTAATTGGATCGTCATTGATCATGTGTGCGTTTAGTTCACTGTTTTCCCAATGCTGCGGAAGATGCGTTTTTATTTTGAAAGGTCTGTCCCATCTTCCTCTGTATTTAGTAGACATCAAAGGTCGAGCAATCAGACGAGATAATACCCATTGTTCTTTCGGAAACGAAGGTACATCCTGTTGTACGTCGTTCATCGTTTTCGATGTAACGAAATACGCGTTGTTGTTGTTATTATGTCCTCCGCTCCGTTTACCATGACCTGCGATTATTCCAATACCGTGAAACATATTGTCGATAATTTTCGATGGGAAAATTAGTTTAATTGCGAAAGATGATGTCTCATTGGGAGTTGCTTGTAGCCCATTACGAATAACTATTTACAATAATAACGATCTTACCAATTTTAATAACTTGTGCTGGAAGGGGAAGATCTTCGAGTGTTTTCAACCCCCGATTAAGGGTTTTTTTTTATGTAATTAGTTTACAGTCGAAGTACAGGGTAATAATAACGAGGGCTACGTCAAAAGGAAAGACTAGGTCTTTTGTAGCACAAATTGGTCAGCGATTTATCTATAGCAGTGTTGGCGGCAGAAAAGAAGAGTGTCTTTTCTTTCGAGTCGTAATGCTTTGACGTATCGAGTTTCAGGAAATGTGTTCGATTACAAAGTATATACCTATTTATTCCTTTACTTTTGTGCAGTACTGTGGACAATTGCATCTAACATACAGAGTTTGCAATATATTTTTCTACAAAGTAGCTTTTGTACCTTGTAGAACGAATAGTTTTCCGAGAAATCTCTGTTATGAAAGGGGTATAGTATTCAAAGCAAATCAGTTGAAAATATACTAGTTTATAGTGCAAATAAAAAGACAATACAAATTTATTTGTAAATATAGTGCAGATACAAATCAAATGATACCCTATTATCGTAAATTCAATTTTGTATTAACTTATTAATACAAATATGATTACCTTTGCAATTGATATATACAGAGTGTTTGGCCACCCTGGATAAAATTTTAATGGGAGGTTTTAGAGGCCAAAATAAGACGAAAATCAAGAATACTAATTTGTTGATTGAGGCTTCGTTACAAAGTTATAGGAACATTTCCGGACATACAGTATATATTCGGTAAAGAATTTTTTTCTTGAAAGTACGTAGGATTTCGGGGGTATGTATATTCACCAAAAATAATTGTAATTGACCCCCGCAACCAAAAATAATTTTTCCAGAACAATTTGAAATTTTTTAATTTTCAGGGAAACATATCAATGTATGGTCAGGCATTATATTTTCAGTAATGAATTTTTTTCTCGAAAATGGTTCGGATTTCGGGGGTATGTCTATTCATAAAAAATGATTGTAATTGCCCCCCACAATCGAAAATAATTTTTCCAGAATGATTTGAAACTTTTCAATTTTCAGGGAAACATATCAATGTATGGTCAGACATTATATTTTCAGTAATGAATTTTTTTCTCGAAAATAGTTCGGATTTCGGGAGTATGTCTATTCACCAAGAATCTCCCATTAAAATTTTTCCCAGGGGTGGTAGAACACCCTGTATAATAAAAAATGTGTACCAGCGATTGTCTTTTGTTAAAACATAGTAATAATGTGAAAACGTACCTCCCCAACAAGAGTGGCCATAGCTCAAGCAAGAACCTGAAATAAATAAATAGTTTGTGGTGAATATTAAATCGTTACAATTATTACTATGGCTACCATTTTGATTTATAGTGGAAATTATTGAATATTTTTAGGTGTCATCCAGTGGTTTAATTGAAAAATTTGTTCTTTCTCCTTAATAAATTATTTTTAAATATGCTATATAAAGAAAACATGAATGATCAAAAAACAATAATTTGGTACTTACTAAAACAATGAATGGGTCAATGATAGCAGTAGTTATTGCATATAATGGCAAAAATAAGTATTATTTGTATGTTAGTAATTGCTAATAATTAAGAATAAATTATGGTACTTGTAAATGTTTGACTAAGCGATGACTATTAAAATTGCATGCGAGTTGATTGGTCGCGCAGTAATTTACTGCTACGCGTTGGATAATGGAAGCCTGGAATAATTGAAAATGAAATATTGAAGAAACCATAAAATCAAAGTTCAGTTAATTAAGGACTCACTACAATTAAAAGGAAAAAATCACATAATTGATCATAACGTACATACAGGGTGGAACGTAATTCGTAGTACAGTATACGCAAAGTCTTGAAAAAAATTAGTGAAAAACGTGAAATAAAATTTCTTTCATATTTTTAATAAGTAATAATGATTTTTATTTTCTTTGAAAATAGTTCTCCAAGCAATACTCAGTACAAATAATTCCCGAAAGATAGTTAAACTACAGTAGCACAATTTTTTAATGTACAAGGTGGTAGAAAATTGATTGAGAAAAGAAAAAATATCCTTCTATGTAATATAAATTTTTTTAAAAGTCAGAATCAGGTGGGTTTTAAACCGTGACTTTACGTAATAAAAGTTGTTGAACTATTTTTCTCTATAGGCCGTCGAATAAGAAGTAGGTACGTTGCACGATGTGCAATTGGACGATTGTGAAAGACTGACGTGCGTTACGCGATACATTATAACATGTTGAATGAAAATCCAAGGTGGGCGAGTGAATCTCATTAGAGCTCTTTAAATTATGTCTAAAACAATACGAGTGTGGGAACTTTTACGGCGGACTGGCCTAATTAAAAACTCAACAGCGTGGCGAAGTGCCTCGTGTAACAGAATGAAAAGTTCCGTGGACTTTATTCGGTTGGGCGTACACGATACAACGTAACATGGAGGAACGCTCGCGTTATCATCAATTGACTTTTTTATAATTATATTACGCGAGTTTCGTTTCCTTATACCTGTACGTAGCCCTCCAATCGAACTTGAAATTTTTATATCAAATATAAACAGAGTTAACCCTTAAATGCACAGTGTCTCAAAAATGAAAGTTTTACTTTTGACTGTATGCCATATTACTTTGGTCCATTCAAACAAATTATGAAATAAAAAAAGGAAAATATAAGATAAGGTTGCTCATGAACAATTCAAAACAGTTTCAAGAAGACGTCAAATGCCTCAATGTAAACTCCTGAGTTCCATAAAATGTTCTAAATGTAATGTTTACCTATGTTAACAAAAAAAATTCAAGCTATTTTTCCTCATTTCATAATAATTTGTGAGTAAATATATGCATATTTTTTTATAACAATTAAACGATATTATTTATGTTTGTACTCCATGGTGCATCATTTTTTAAACAAAAAAAAAAAGATTAAAACCTACTTACTAATTATTTTTTTTTGTATTTTTGCATAAACTTATACTCTACATATAATAGATTTTTTTCGGTCAAAATTAAAAAATCATGTATTTAGGGGTTAAACTTTACCAACGTTGATAAATGAAATATTCCTTCAACAAACAGTATTCCAGTCCATTTGTTTTAATCACGCTTAATAAACTTACTTTTTCCATTTGTTTTGATCTATTTTCGGATCATTTGTATTTTATTAGAAATTATAGTCACCGTGATAGAGTCGCAAAATGAAATTATGAAATACTCTGTTATTGATGCTGATATAAAATTAAAAATGTATGTATATTATACTATGATTTACATATAAATTATACATTTGCATCAAAAAGTTAATTATTCCAGTTGCAATATTTTTAGCAAGACAGATTGAAAAAAATCGAGTAGTAAAAATGTTACAATGCTTCTTATAATAAATCAAGCTACAATTATAATTTTTTAATTAAACTATTCACCTCTTAGCTATCTTTTTCTATTATTATTTCGCGTATAATAAAGACGTGTACCGTTTGTCGCGAAAGAAGAGCGGTAAATACATTTTTATTTTGCAGATGCATTAACGTGTCTCCGGAGAAGAAAATGTCAGAGGGAGTTAGACTTTCTCGAATATATATATATCTCTACGTCATTTGTTTTTCATATTCGCCTAGCCAGGAGTTATATTTTGCACATAACTGTATGAATAAAACGCATTAAAAACAGTGTTCTTTTATGAGAATTCAAAGTTAAAGAAATTATTTCTGACAGATTCTATAAATCTGTCGAGAAAGAATGGTTTCCGGGAATATTTAAATAATAATTCTCTTATTAAACAGTAAATAACATTATAACTGTGAGAATTTTTAGGTTGGGAACTTTAAATAAAATTCTGCATATAAAAGTTTTATGCTGAATTAAATATTTTGATGCAAATGTGTTTTAGTAAAAATGTATAAAATGAATTCTCTCTTCTGTAGTACACTCAATTAAAAAATTCATTTAAACAGTTTGGATTGAATTTGTTATTTATTAGAATAAATTAATCATATTATTTGAATTTTTAATGCCAATTTATATTTTTTTCGCGTAACTCGTTCCTGTTTCAATAGAATTCAATTTCGTTGAATAAAAATTTATAAAATTCATTATATTTATTGTATATTAATAAACAGTTAATGGAAATGTTAAAATATACACGATTAAGTAATAAATTTAACACGTCAGTCAACACAGGTGTTCTTGATATTCACGAATAATGCTCTTAAAAAAAACGTCTGTTTTCGTATCCAAGTGGGATCGACCATGTGACAAAAGCGACAATTGGTTTTCCGATTTCCATGTTCGCGACGTATCGCTGTATCTATACCCTCTCAATTTGCTTTGCAGTATATGTATTTCTAGAAGAGTGCATCGGAAATGCTAGTAAAAAAACTTCTTTTTATCGTGTCATCTTGTCTGGCGTACGCATATATGTTGTTTTGTGACAACAAATATCTTTGATACCCGGAAATTCGAAATGCAGAAACAACGAGGAATATAAATGTTCATACTGTCTATCCACCTTTTCATGAGACGTTTAGAAAGTGATTATTTTTCTCATATTAATAACAATTCCTTTAGGAGCAAATCTGAATCTGAGAAAAGTAATTTATTATGTGATAAACTAAATATTATTCAAATTTATTTGAGATTTGCATTATATATTTTTTATTTTTGTCGCGTTCCAGGATGTAGAATCACCCTTTGAACGATGGTCCACACCCTTTATATCCTTTATTTTGCGTATCAATAATTTTTTAACGAACAACGAAAGCTTTCTTTGCCCGGAAACTTTTTATCACCTATCCGTTTAAGGTGTTATCCCTGAAAACTTAAACTGATGGGACAGCAAAACCTCAGCTTTCGAGGATTAGCTGCAACAGGTTACCACCGCCGAACTCCTGGAACGCGTGAAGTTGTTAATCTTATACCCGATAAACGGGGATTCCCTGTATACAATTAAAATTTAACGCCTTCGATGGAAACGGGGATCGTTAGACCGCGGATGATCTCATTAACAAAGTTGCAGGAATCTCGTTATTATTGTTCGCGTTGGTTCTTCTTAAGCCGTCCCCCTTATTATTCAAATTCAATTACAAATTCTCGAATAACCTCTTGAATCAATAATAATATTCTGGGTACAGTATTTAGACTCCAAGCACGTGGATGTTTACTTGCATTTCGTGTATTTTTCATATTTTAAAATAGTTCATAATTTGACGTACATTGTTTACAAATATTCACTCTTTACTTTTGGAACAATTCACTTATTATCACCTCGTATAAAATTTAGTTTTTAACGAATTAATTCTCAAATATTTATTTCCAAAATTTTATCACATTAATTTAAATTCGATCGAAAGTGCTGTTGCCAAATTTGTTATAGTAATACCGAATGATCACAGTTTCGTAATTATCCCAGTTTCGCTGATAATAATGTGCATAATTATACCGCGTAAACAAAAGGAAAACTTGTTCGACCAAGAAATGAAAAACTTGAGAATAATACCATTATTGTCTGAAACTTTATGTATCTTAGATGAAGAACATGCATATCGCATAATTAAATAAATTAATAGTGATACAAAAGAACAGAAGTTTTCTTGGTGTTTTTCAGTAACGTGTCATTAAAAGAATAATGTTTCCGTTGTACTTTATTCAGTTACTTTGTTAACCACATTATTATAATACTCGTAACAAAATAAAAACAGTAAAATATTCTTGTTGGAGCAAATAATTTTTTAATTATATTTAACCGAATGGTGGTTTAAAAATATTTAGGTATTCTAATAAATACACCATCTCTCTACGTACGGGAAGAAACAAAAACAACAATATTAACGATGAATTGATAGCAGCTGTTTTCAAACACGATCAGAAATTCCTCGTTAATAACGCAATTAAAGTTTATGACAAATCATCTGGACGTCAAAACGCGTGCAATTTTTCTTCTTTTTTTTTTCAACGCGTAGATCGTTCTTTGCCTGTATCGCGATCTCACGTTCCGGTGAATTTCACGGAACTTCGGCGATCTATAACGCGCTTAATAAGTTTACACCCCCGGGGAAAGCGAAGGCTAGTACACTTTTAGTGCTCGTAATTACTTTTCGCCTGGAAGCAGAAATAATTGCTGGACTCTTTCTCATATTTGTTTACATTTCGATATAATGTCAGGCGTCGTTTTTCTGCTCATGCAGCGACGTTCCCAGCCATAAATTAAACCGATACAAAACTGAGGCAACGTTTCCCTGGAATACGGGTAATTTTTATGCACATATTGAAAGAAATTATCAATTCAAGGAGACGCCTTGTGGGTGGGAGAAATTATTTGTCAAAAAGTGACGTGGGAATTTTAATTTTATTTAACCTTGTTTCTAGGGTCTCTCGTGCCTTTTGTTTGACCGGTGATAAATGGTTTTAAAATCTAATAAAGTGTGAATATTGGTTCAGTAATATATTGAATCCAATTCAAATTAAATTTTACCTCAAATAGATTCAGTTTTTAATATAAGCTTGTGTAATATTTATATTCCGATCCTCAGTTTTGATATTGATTTTTTAAGTAATTAAAAATCCGGCGGAAGATCGTAACGTTAATAAATAAGGTAGAATAATTTTACCTTAGTGGGAGTACCGTGAACGAATCGGTGAGGTTTTCACGATGAAAATGAATCCGAACACGACCCTAATCGGACTACCCTCGATTCTATGAAAATAAATAATTTGAACGACACACGATTTAAAAAAAATAGTTCGATCGAGGTCTTGTTTGGACTCGTTTTCTTCAGAAAAACCCATCAATTCGTTGGTAATAATCTTACGAAAAAATACCATGAAGCAAACTTTAATTTTCATTGGCCCAATATGTCTTTCCCTTTTCAAAATTTTATGGCACTCGATCGAGAAGGAAACGAACCATCGTACGATCGTTACGTATCACGGACAAACATCAGCGATGTTTTAAAAAACAATCTACGACTGTCCATTTGTTTTTATCAGCGAAATGTCTCTCGTATCTCGATTTTATCAAAGTTTAAAAGTTTCTATAAAATTTCTTAACGTCGTTTATGTCCAACGAGCCAAAGTGTAATGAAAGTGTACCTTTCGCAGTAACCGCGGGCATTAATCCTTAATTACCAGTTAGACGTAAAGTTAACGTGTTTTGTTATTAAGATATAATGGGTTTATTTAATTTGCGAACGGTACACCATAAAAATTTGCATTCACTGTTAATTTCCGAAGGTCAGTGAAAATGTCTATTAGGTTAATAGAGATAGCGTGAAAGTCGTTTGTATAAATATTCGAATACCGTAGAACTAGAAATAAGTTAAACAATTCAATAATAGTATGTCTCTTTTGTCCTATAAAATAAAATTTATAGAAAATAATAAAAAAAAAATATATATATATAAAATCGAATTGCAATATGAAACTCGTGACTTAATTTCAAGTCGATTTATGCGATAGTAAATACTACAATAATTTTCATGTGATAGAATTGGATTAGGTTATATGGATTTTAATTTTGAACTAAAAATAAAAACACTTGAATCGGATTGTATTATTCCTTAGTCTTTAATAATAACAAGAGACTAAGAAAGCAAGTCATGCACGCGAAAATTTGTGAGTTTGTTATTAAAAATGGCTGCTTGATAGAGCCAGAAAATAATGAATTCATTTCTCTTATAATTATAACTTCTTGAGTTCCATGGTGTTCAAATGTTAATGGAAGATTCTGTGTGTATAGAAATTAAATGCATTTGTGTGTGTGTGTGGTAGTACTAGCATTTAAACGTTAGAAAAAAGAAACGAATTTAATGATTTAACATTTGTACGTACCAGCCGCGCATCCCGCAAAGCTGAAGAGTATGATGAAGGACCAAGTACGTACGTAAATCGTCAGTGACGTTTCCGAAGTGGTCGCCATGTGGCCAGTTGTGTTCTGCGTGAGTGTCAAACAAATGCATCGTTGAAGATTCGTTGGATTCGAAGTTAAAATAGAAGGTAATATCGATAATATTTACGAATAAAACCGCAAACGGAACAATTTTTAATAACCAAATACGCGCTCGAAAATAGGCGAAAACGTAAATCCAACGAAAATCTTCGTATTTTCATTTTCGGTTTGATGCATATTCCTACGAAAGGTAAACTTTAATAAACGCGATATCAATTTTATTCGCTTCAAAGTTTGTTAAATATTTGTGACTGCAACGCGATGCAAAATATAACGTTTTCGACATTAATGTTTATCGTAATATTAAAATTTACTCTTTAGTATCGTGTTTCTAATCTCCGAATATTACTAGTAAGTAAAGTGATCTTCGATCAAAGCTTATTAAGAGGAGTAAACGTTGGCGTAACATATAATAATTTTGTAATTTTTTAATGAGCCAATGACACTGAAAAGATGAGTAATTTTTAAAATTGAAGCAAGATACTTTCCCCTCTGTGTTCGATATTTTCATACGGGATCTTCAAAGCTACTCAAATAAAGAAAAATACGTGCAGTCTCGGTGACAAATACTTTCACATTCCCTTCAAATTACATCCCGTGTCAGCTTTTAAGTTACTTTATCTCTCGAGCTTCTATTTCGAGGGGAAAAGAGTAGAGCTTAGATATGAAAGAGGAGTCAAACAGACTACAACTCCGATACCGGAAGGAGTAAAAAGAGAATCTCGAAACAGTCGTTTAGGATGTAGGAGAAATACAAAGTAAAGCAAAAAAAATAGACTTACGAAAGCAGATTATACGTTTCTTTTGAAATTGTTGATTTTCTATTCAAAAATACTAAGTTCTTTATACACTAGTATAAAATTTATTTCTGCCTACTAATACACTATTTTTAGATGACAAAGTTTAAATTATAAACACAGAAATATACTGCAAATTGAAAGATTAATAATAAAATACACTGTAAGAAGGAAGATATGTTTGCAATCTGCTAAGATAGTAATCGCTAACATGGGGCAACATGGTTTCTGAATGATATGCTGAAAAATAAGGTGACCTTTAGAAGTTTTTTACGAAGAATGGTACGTGATTTTTTGCTAATGTTCTTCATTATCTAACAGAATTTTATGACGAAGTTTCGATTTATCTCAAAGTTATGGTTGTTACCGTTAAAAGTATTAATTTTTTTAAAAATTACTTTATGATTCGAGGAGTGTAAAATATTTAATGTTCAATTTTGTCTAAAACAATTTTACGAAAGGCGAACGAATGAATGTTGACTAAGGCAAGATCATTTATTTAAAAGCTAGCATAAGTGGAGGAAATTCCTCTTACAGCTGCTTTCCTTCTTTTGTCTTTAATTAAAGTTCACGTTTCCCCTTTAGGCCCCCAGGTAGCTATTAAAAAGATCTGTTCAGTCGTTGAAATTTATCTAAAACCTTCATATCCAGGGAACTGTTTTTCTTGATTAAAAAAATTTTCAAATCGCGCGCAATTAAAGTAGTTCGCCTGTAACGCGAAACCACTTTTCACGGTTGCCATAATACAATTTGTGGGGGTGAAATCACCGTTTGAAATTCAGAGTTTCCTTTCTTGTAGAAAAATAGCTTTTGCGTTACAAATGAATTACTCTACTTGGGCATAATGTTTCTAAATATTTTGAATTTTTTAAATGAATTGAAATAACTTAGAATTTCCTGGAATCTATTTCAAATAAATATAAGTCAATATTTTCTGATCGCTAATAATTTAAATAAATCAGACTCCTCGATTTTGGTTGCATCATGTTCTTACATTAACGTTTTAAACAAAATTAACAAAATTACAGAATATATCAAACGTGAAGAAAAGATACAATTTAATCAACGATAGTGTAAAATTGTTTCTATGCATGATAGAATAGTAACTCAAACTGCAACGTTATCAGGTCCATGCATCGACCACTTGTTGATACAACTTGCACCAATACGTTCCTCTATCAAACATTATTGATTCACAGTAAAAATAACAATTTCACAATTCCGAAATCTCGACACGACATATAAAAAAATTCTAAATCAGTTTCAAGTTAACGCGAAATTTATATTTTTCAATGTACAGTACATACATATGTAACAGTTGTTATTCTTATTATTTAACCAAATCGAGAATTTCTTTTACCAAGCTTTATCCAATTCCTAGACATTTCCACATTCGTAAAAATTGAAATGTTACTATAAATCAGTGAACTCATATACGGAAGTTTCACTGTATCATATAACGAAGCATTTTAAAAACCGATATTTTTTTTTGTTTTTGCGTCAGACTATCATCACCGAGTCGCGTAACAAATTCTACGTGAACAATTTTTTCTCTGTTTTAAAACTGTTATCTTTGGTCCCTGATGTTTCGACGAAGTTTCGATGAGAATTGCGCACCAGTCTTCGAATAAAATTTCCAAAGGCTACCTTGTATCTTTCAGCCAGTCGTTGTAACCCCTCGATTTAGTTATGTCACCTTGGATTCGTGGAAGGATGAGCGACGCGAGACCAGGAGGTTCGCGATGAAGTAACAGGTCCTGTTGCACGGGTTCACCGATTCGAAATTCCACGCTCCGCCTGCGGAGGATCTCGATCGAAGGGCTCGACGAGTAAACTCGAAGGCGTCGGGTGGCACGTCGGGTGCTTTTATAGATACGTCTGGTACATGGTGGAGCATGGTGGTACATGGTGGAGGGGCAGCTGATCCGCGCGCCTTCGAAACGCGCACCTGCGTCGATGGATAGGGGTATTCTTTCCCGCGAGATCAGAGACCAGGGCTACGTGCATGTTCTTACGGATTCGCGTTCCTCAATTTCCAGAACTACCGTTCCAATAAAGAATAAAATATTCCCTGACGCCACCAGGCATTTTTGACGTCATTTCGCTCTGAAACTAGCCATCCTTTGATGATCCAAAGATAACAAACAGGGTCGTGCCCAAGTATTCGACGTCTGGGGGCAACGACTAAACAAACCCAAGCAACCGGGACCTAGAAATTAAAAAAAAAACACACTTGAAATAGATAAAATCATTTTTAAACAATTTTTCTAAATTACCGCACATTCAAACTTTCAACTATAAAAGCTGACACGATTTTCAGACTCATGTTAAATGCCATGGTAGTTCCTGAAGATTATTAGTAGATTTAGAAACACCTGAAGCAGATAGAATCATTTTTTTTTAATTATCCAAAATTAATACACACACAAGTTTTCAACAGTAAAAATTGACGCGGTTTTTTGACCCTGTTAAACGTTATGTTGGCTCCTAAGGGCTAACTGTAGACCTAGAATTTTTTAAGAAACACCAGAAGTAGATAAAATCCCTTTTCTTAATTATCCAAAATTAATACACACACAAGTTTTCAACAATAAAAATTGACACACGTTAAACGTCATGTTGTACACTTTTCTGAAATGAATTTTACTGAAATATTTTAAATAATCATGAGGGGTTTCCTGGTCGTTGTTTTTCGGTTAAGACGGACGTAATATTTTAAACGAACGAGTAAGGTAATTAATAATGAATAAGGTGGATCGTACCAATATTCCAATATTTTAACCATACGGTTGATTGCAGAGGATATTGAAAAGCATGCGACAGAATTTGCAAAAACAAATGTGGTACGATGTACTAAACTAATAATTTAAAAAAACAATACCGGAATCGCTGTGGAAAGAAATATAACAATAAATCGTAATTCATCTCAATACATTTATTTTATGCGTCAATATTCAGGTTTCGATATTTAGATTTAAATGTTTCAAAGACTAAAATGTTTAAGGTTAATCGAATACGTAATTAAACTCTATTTTAAGGAATACCACGCTATGGAAAAATATTCGTAATTATACAGTGCTATACAGTATATCCCGCATTTGCTTTGTGAAAAGCGATGAAAGAAATAATGACTCTTGCAGCAACAGTTTTAACAGCAAACAATCTGACCTTATAAGGCTTAATATATAGGATGAGTGGATTAAAGAACGGAAAAGTCCCTTCACGCCTACTATCGATTAAAGATGAATATCATGAACTTCTTAAATGATCTCTTAAACCAAGATCATGTTGCAATTTCAAGAATCAGAATTGATCACATAAAATTTAATATTTATGCAGTACAGTCTTCAATAATTTTATGTCTATTCCCCTATAGATATATTCTTTGGGTTGCATGATTTAATTTTCAAATATTATTAAAATCAGTGACAAATTTAAACGTTCGGTATCCTAAAAATTCGAATAATTGAGAAACTTTGTGGTCCTATAAATTATACTATAAAATAGGAATATTATTTTGTGAGTTCCATTAGTTCGAAAACATTGGAAACTGAATATGTCTTCTGCGCGAAACGTTCAATTGATTGACGAATACCAGTCTCGAATATTTTCTGCAATTAAGAAATTTTTCTGATATTAGCAGCTGTGAATGTGAAATTATAAATGTCAAATGTACATGAAAAGCTGAAATGAAACTCAGACACGAATAAAATGACCGACGAAATACAAATAATACGAAATAGACGTACATAAAACATATTGCCGTCTTCTATATTTTTCATACTTCCTCAAACTGTTAAAAGAAATAGTAACGCTTACTGTTTTTATACTACGCGCTGGTATTTGTTAAGCACAGGACGTTGAAGTCGACTTTTTGCAAGAACGGACATTTTTATGGCAAAACTTATTCCAGGTTCTAGAAATGATATTAAATGCTCGTAAACACTCATTCAGCGAAATCTGTGCGAACTGAACCCGTCCATTAAAACGTGACACGAATTCGGTGTAAATGAAGGGTTGAAATTCAATTACGCGGAGAGAGTAGGCCTATCCTCTCTCTTAAACTGCGCGAAATGGAGGAAAATCTGTATGATGCGTGTCAGGGCTGATGAAACTGTAAAATACCCACCCTAGTGACGCTGAATTAAATTGTTACACACGGTAGTAGGGATCCAAACTGTCCTCCATGTTTCAATTGAGAGAAATAAAAAACGAAGAGTAGTACATAGACAATAGAAATAGAAATATCAATTATTTATACTTGTACGTTTTACGTAATAACCCATGATAACCTATGATAGTGAATCTTTTACTGGTTCGTTTTCGACTATACTTTGCTTCCAAACGCAGTCATGGCACTCATCTTCCACAGGCACGCGCGCACACGTTTTCTTAAGAGTAAACAGATACTTATAGAAATATTTTGAAGAAAACGTGGCTTCAAATAGTTTTAAGGTTACCAACACTCGAGGTTGTATAATAGTATATATTATTATTATACCAAACTTATTAAACTTTATGAGATTAGAATTGCGTGAAAAATAGTGATAAACAAATGGATATATCTTAAATATATTATATGCTTTATAATAGCAAAAGATATAATAGAAAAGAAGTTTCTTTTTCGAGCAAATCGATTTTGAAAATTGAGTCAGACTTGACAAGGCTGGCCATCACTGACTATTTCTACTTGCAGTTGTGATTGTAAACATTGCAAATGACGTGATATGTATATTGTTTCGAATGGTGTTAAATAGTTACGAGATAGCAAACACAAGTACTGGGGCAAGTAGAATTGAGGAGTAATGGTCAGGCATGAAGCTAAGTCTGATTATTATTCGTTCTTTCTACTTGTAGTAGGGTTATATTACGTTACCTGTTACTAGTTTTTTACTGAATTAACGAGAACCAGATATATCAGATGATACTGTGCCATCATTATTGTATAAAACCATTGTCACACGTAGAAATAATAATTAATGCCCGAGATAACGAGCATACCCAACTTTTCGAAATTAGTATTCTCCAAAGCGAAATTTCGTATGAAAAAATTATATTTTACATTCCCCGCTTATTTTTATATGAAAAATCTCCCTATTCTTATTTTCACTATACATTTTGTTTCACTTTGTACAATTTAAAATGTTTCGATTCAATGTGGGAGGCTCTTTCATTGATACAAATAGAAATGTTTGGAAATTGTAAATAAAATTAGAAAAATTAACTTTGCAAAGAAATAGACGATTCAGAATTGATTAAATATAGTAAAATCTAGTGTAGAAAAGGAAGAAGAATATTCTGGAGTATGAAAATCGTGGGTTCGAACTTTAGGGAATGGTGGAACTCATTAGACGAAACAGAAATGTCGAAGCAAACACATGCCAGGAAATTAATAGATTCAGAGCTGTAGAATGACTGATGTCTTGAGAGTTCAGCGTGTCAGCAGCTGATGGATGACTTCGAAATGGATGTGTCTCGTTATAGATTATTTCATTTTCTGAGATCCACAGTGTCTGGAATCGAACATATTCAATTACGAATTAAAAAGTTAAATATTTTAGAAAACCTTACTTTTCACCTTATATTATTGAATTAGAATTTCTACTCGAGAAATTTTGTTAAATTTAAAGCAAATTACAAGTTAAATTAGTGTTGTGGAATGGAGGAACTTATTTGGAAGAATTCTTGCTTGGAATAATTGACAAGAGTATGATCGTGTTATCGGACGACATTCTTGTTCCAACACGCGAAACTTAATTATGAGGCTTTACGAAATTTACTTCCCCCGTTTCATAATAGCTGTGCAAACTATCCTAAACTTCGTTGTTAGATTTACGAACAGAAACGTATGTTAGAGATTTCCATATTTATTGTGGAATTTCAAAATGTTTAGTAGATGTCACAGATAGGATATTGCTATTTCTAACGATCGATTCCCATGAAATATCGATGTTTCTTTGTTTACTCTAACTCATTTGTAAAAAATAATATTTACAGTTGACTTCTATTACTAATGTTTAGTGTCATTAAGAAAAATAGTTACAAAAATTGGTTATAAAATCAGGGTTTTAAATCACGCTGTGGTTTAATATGTGAGTCGCCTACTGGCAACGCTAATTATAATTTCTTACTAAGACGTTGCGCAACGCTGTCAGTAGGTGTCATAAATATTAGATGCTATTTTGCTTTAAGGTTTCGTGGACGAAGAAAACTCATAAATATTATTCTGTTACAATGACATTGCATAATTATTATAATTCCTCTTTATCTTGATGAATTATATTATTATTTAAGTTCAATTTCTATACTTTTATCACACAGAATGCATTGTTCTGAAAACAATTCTAACATTAAAAGAAATATATTTATTGAATATACATACAAAATATAATAATAATTAAATAGAATTACTTTCAATATTTTAGTTTCATTTAAATTGTTTTAGAATCGACAACTGTGTTCCTATATTATAAATACTCTTTTTAAAACTAAAAGAAAATTGAGACTTTAAATATCAAAATTCGAATTTATTTCGTTTTATGTACAGTTTATGCATTTTTCAGAAATTTACGATAACTTCTGTAATCAAGCTTACGCATAATAAAGTTAATTAAAATCATATGCACCTACGCGTGTAACACGATTATAGGAAATTATAGTAACTACATTCGTTTCGCGAATTTTAGTGGCGAAGCTCTCGACCCACGCATATGGTCTTAAGTAGTTAGGACGATTCTTAGTCCGACCGCATGACGAACGGTCGCATAGTCGCGCAC